AATGACCAGAACTCAACGATAGTTATTATTATATTGTGTACTAAATACTTATAAGTTATAACAGTTAGTACTTGCAAAATATGTAACTTAAAGTATTACAACAGTAAGTAGCTAATAATCGGTAGTGTTTTTAAGTATAATGTGTACAATGTACTATCGTTATTACATGATATGTATTAAAAAAATACCTTACAATTAATTATGTGTGAATAAATTATTATATCGAGTTATATTAGTTGTATCATGTAATGTTACAAAATTGTTACATATATGTCAATTATATGTAAATACTATATACATTATACACATCTACCAAAGAAAATCGAAAACCAATAATGTTTCTATAAAAGATTCTGATAAAAAAAATTGTAATAATAGTAATGATACAATGAAATATAAATTAAATCATAATAATAAGTAGCATTAAAGTTATGAAACATATCAAGTTCTAATATCCACTAAAAAAATTATCAATACATTTAAGAAAAAAATACTGATTTTGAATAATACATTTTGTTATTAGATTTAATTTTTAAAAACATCAATATTTTCATTAGATAAAATATTTTTTAAAAACCACAAGAAATATATTAACACATGTGTTACCATGTGATTTAAATTAGAGAGGACAAATTATGATACATTTAGTTCTGTTCTGTAATGATTTATAACGGTAATAACTGATACACCAAATTGACATGTACTCAACAATTTTTATACAAATTGTATATATTATTGCAATATAAAAAATAAATTTAATCAAGACAAATTATACAAATTTAATTTCATTACCTATATATTTTCAATCAAAAATTAAAATTATATTATTGTTAATACAAATTTAAATACCTAATCTTACAAATCATAAAAGACTTAGGAGTTTACCTTGACTTATTTTTAGTTCTGGTTCCTCAATTACAAGTTATGGGCATTTAACTTATAATTACCAGATAAATTATTAAAAATGTATGTTAAACTCTGGTACTCAGGTCAATAAATGTGTATCAACAATCTGCTATCTTATTTAATATCCACAATCCAAAAAAGAAGTTAGAAAAAGCAAAGTCTACCATGACACCCCTGAGCAAATAACAAATAATTTATTCTTTTATATTACTTATTAATGATTTATAATGAATCATATACATAATACATAACATACAATAGATGAAAATAATACCCGTATACACATTTGGAATAGTGAAACAAAATTAAAATCACAAAAAAAGAATAAATAAAAATGTGTACAGCTTTTAAATAGATTTTATATTTGTTCTAAGTTAAATATTTATACCAAATATGTTAATTTAATACAACATATTTTAGTATGGTTATTTAAATAAATTTTTAAAAAGAGAGACCATCGAAATATCAGTATTACAAGTATTATCAGCGAGCATCTCCTGATCAAGAGGCTCTATGCTCTATTACTATTCCTAAATAATTGTAATAAGTACTAAATTAAATTAAGTACAAAGGTGTGTTAATAAATACAGACATGAAAAAACATGATATGTAATTTAAAAAATTTAAATATATAAAATATATTTAGGCACTGTCGATAAATAACTGAAAGAATTTCAATGTGCACGCCAATAATTTATTTTGACAGTTTATAAATCAAGAAAAAATGAATTTTGTTTTAAAGTATCAACTAATACAGTTGCAAAAATCATAAAGATTGTTTATATTATATTGGCACTATACAATATACAATACACAAATATAAATTTAAAAAAATTTTATTAAACTTTAAATAGTTATCAATTATTCATTAATAATATTTAAAACTGAATGTTAACTTATCCAAAGCATTTTGTACAGTTGCGTATAATATATCAGCATAACTTATTTTTTTTTAAACAATTCAACAACAAATAATATTATGACTGAACCTAAACACTACAGATTATTACTTATGAGTTATGACTTAATGAGATTCATATAATTTTTATAAATAATATATTTCATCAATGCAGTTTTACTCACCACTAAAAGTTCCAAATAGAACTCGAAGTTGATTCAAGATGATATAACAACACCACACTGCAGTACTGAACTATATACTAAAATGTTATGATGGTAATCGTTAGATACTAGACACACCGATAATAAAATTTGTTTCAGTCGGGTATGCGAATTCGCACGCGACCACAAAGTAGTACGACACGCCACAACGAAAAAACATGCGACCACCTGTTTATGGATTATCGATAATAATAGTAATAAAAAAACTAATAATAACACAACACTTTAGTCCTAAAACATAAACAATAATAATACTTTTATTTTATTTTTATTTTTTTTTTTTGTTTACACGTCTGGTAACAGAATTTTAGTATCTTTTATCTACTTGATAATATAGTACGACGAGCTGCGATAACACCAGTGCGCGCCATGGGTTTTGCAAGACAGGTGGTATATTGTCATGAAAATCATGAAATACGCGGGAATATACCTACTCTTGGCCTTTTGTGAAAAGAATAGTATTAGCGCCAAAAACCCAGGTCAGTGCGACACGCCGATATTAACGTCTGACAGATCGGTCATACACTAACGTAATAGATAGATATCCAAACTAAAATAAAATTTAAGTTATGGTCGTGAATTAAAGTATAAAACATTATCTGATAATTGATATGTATCCGAATGACTGTGGACAAGTCAAGACAAACTGTCCGTCAGTCGATAAAAGTGTCACCATTCAATCCGTCGATCGTTTTTTCAATCGTTATTAATTTTGTTATAATAAATTCTGTTGTATAGAATAAATGGATAATGTTTATAAAATAATTTCATCATAAGCATATTATTTTGTTGTTGTCGTTAATTGTTTTTGATGTTTTTTTTCGTGCAAATATACATTTTTAGCTACTACATAATAGGCATATTTTTTTTTTCTTCCACAGATCGTTTACATTCAATAAATATATCACTTGTACACCAGGAGAAGTAATTTCAATATTTTTTACTGACATGTTAAATTTAACATTTCTTTGAGCCGGTATCTATGTAAACTATACGTACGTAAATATTCTAGCCTTTCCTTTCAAATTTCTAATCACAATTATCAGTCACTTCAACTAATCTACTTTTAAGCGTTTAAAATATCTATGAATTGATAGAATCTATTAGAATATAAAAGCTTGTAAATTATAAGTTTCGACGAAACAGTCGCTTATTCAATTAGTGACTTATTAAAATAGATAGATAATAAACAGTAGCGTAATAAAGGGATGACAATTGAGAGGCGGCCACCTCAAAATTTTTACAAACATATAATGGATCATGGATGGATGGATAATGGCCAATGGATAATAATTTAATAGTAACTACGATAGGTGGTTAAAAATAAAAATAAAAAATAGGTAAATCAGTTAGGTGAGATGATGAAATATTAGACTACAACCTTTGAAAAATTTCAAAATTGCCGCACCACTGGTATTAGGTACTGAAAAAGAGTTAATGCAGTATTAAACAGCAAAGAGAGAATATTTTTTTTTAATACATCAAACAATATAGATAACAATATTTAAGAATTGAAAAATATAAAATTTATTAAAAATTATTTTATACTTCAGAGGTGTTAGTGTGCTAACCTAACCAATGGGTTTATCTCTTCTCTCATTTCTTAATGTAAATACTTATTTAAATATATATATATATATTTCATTCATTTAATTTACTTTTTATACTACTATTAGCGTAGGTTGTAAATATTATTTTTTAAATATAAAAATAATAATAACAATAATTGTTAAATACTTACTACAACTTCTTAAAATAATATAATTTTGTAATTATCGTATAAAATATATCAACAAACAACAGAATGTTTAACTACAATAATTGTAGTGTAAATGAAAAAAAAAAAAGATTTATAATTTTAGAACATTTAAAGTATAGGCTGTTTAAATCGTGTGGTAACGGTCTTAACGTGACACGTTACGTCGTGTTTAGGAGTCAAAATATAATGACAAACTCGGGTCTCAGCGCTAACTATAATTTCACGCGCCTTGTACACTACTTGACAGTTGACAGGACCTAAGTCTGGTTCTTTTACTGCTTGTTTTATTATTGATAACAGTTATTATTTTATCGATTTATAAATTCTAATGATGCAACTATAACCGTGCGGCGTCAAGGATATGCAATCAAGTGTACACTGCTGGTAATTTAAAATCAGCTTCTATGCCACAAGGAGTATGAACAATTGATGTAAAGTTTGTTAGTGGGTCTCAATATTTATAAATTCATAATATTAAATCTGTAATCGATCGTAGCTGTTGATCGTAAATATTTAAATAGATCAGTAAGGAACAGTCAATTAAGAACGCAATCAAAGACATTCATTAACCGTAGAAAAACGTAAAAACCAGAGTACCTACCTACCTATTTGTAAAATATATATTATTGTTATTAAATAATATTACACCACCATTAACCATTAATAAATTACAACATAATACAAAATAAATAATAATAAATAATCGTATGGTCCAATATGTGTATTCAATTATTTGACGTTTACGGAGAACAATATCAATAAAAGTTAAAATTTAAAAAAAAAATAGCCGCTTAAAACAAAAACCAAACAATAATCAAAACATACCTTGAAAACATTGAATTGAATTCACAAAATCGATGATTGGGTTTTAAAATATTATTATTTTCCATTTACATCATATTGTGCTATAATTATATCTTGTAACTTTAGAGTATGGTTTTTTTAGATGTGAAATATAAAATGACAATATGTTAAAAAAATATTTATTTTTTTCTATAACGATATTGTATTACTGATATTAAGTATTTATAATAACCGTCACGAGCGCTATAGTCATTGCTTTGATAGTGTTATCTAATTTCTATACAATTCATTATCAAGTTAATGATAAATTATAAATACAACATACAATTTGAAATGTAGCAACATTTTTTTATTTTAATATTTTAAAATGGTCTTTATAAATTAATCATTCATAGTGTTTGGTAATAAGTATTATATTATACATAGGTTCAGGTTCAGAATATTATACAGTATTCTATGCTCATAAAATATTCAATATTGACATGATCTAAGATTCTAAGGTAAGTATTATAGTTATATGTCTGATTTGTTTATGTGGTTATAATATTGTAATTATATAATACATTATTAATCATTAATTAATTTGTTGTAACTTAAATGTTTAAATTTAATTGTATAAATTATGTAGGTACTGTTTAAAGACAAAATGAATATATCAACTGAAATTGAACTAGGACTGAAACGGTTATGCAACCCAGCACTGATAAATGACCAATGTTTTCAAATATTATTACAAAAGGCTGAAAAGATACTGGGAACATTGTTGAGTGATACTTCTGAACAAACATTACATGATGGTAAGAGCCTAATACTTTACAAAACTAATAATTGATTTCTTTAAATTAGAAAACAAATATTTTTCTTCGTTTATAAACTTGTCAACATTAAAAGATTTAATATAATCATATATTACCTATAGAATAAATAAGTTAGATTTATTTAACAGTGAAAAATAATTCAACCTTTTACATGAAGTTATTATTTTACTTGTTCTGATAATCTTAGGGATATAATTTATACTTATTTTTACTTCCAGTAGATGACTAATATTTTATCAATAATGTATAAAAGTATCATTCAAACTTTCTAAATATATCACACTTTTGTACTGAATAATCTAAAATTATTAATGTACCTAACTAAAATTTTATACTTTACTTATTTATATACAAAATTGCACAAATTTTAATTAATTAATAAAAAATGTTAAACTCTTTTTCATTTCAGATTCTACCATAAGCATAACATCTAAACAAGATATTGCTAAAGAAGCATATGCTTCTTTAGTAACTCTGTTCACAATTGCTAATAGACATTGTCTAGATGGAAAATCATTGAACCAAAACTTACAAACTCTAGTTTTGGCTAATACTGATCGTTTATCAGAGATTATTAAAACTTATGAATCTATTAGACCACATTTAATAGAAGTTTCTAAGATTACCACTACATCTTTGGCTAATGTGGTCGATGTTGAATGCCGTCTTGATTATTGTGTACAAGTCAGTATATCATGTTTTTAATTTTTATTACCAATAAGCAATAACAATTATAACTGTAAGAGTTCGATCTATTATAAAATTATTGTCGCGTTACATAATATGATTAAGTAGCTTAAATATTATACATTATTTTTGGATAAACAATGCACATTAGGTGCCAGTCAACTTTAAATCATATTAACTATAACATTATTAGTTTACTAATTATTACAATAATAATAAATATATTTGTTTTTAGTCTAGTGTTTTTGATGACGTGTCTGAATTCTTATACAAGGTGCGACTGAAGACAATAGACAATGGTACAATAAAATACATTGATTTCGTCTGCAACACACAGGAACTTCAAGAATTAGTATTTAAGTTAAAGGACGCAGTTCGCCATCTAGAAAAAATTGCTTCGGCCAGTTAAGATTTACAAATTATCGTAACTCATTACTAATTTTTCTTATTACTTATAGCAAATTCTACAACAGTCTTAATAAATTATACATATATATTTTTTTAAATTTCTGTAAAGACATAATACATTGAATTAATAATGGGAAAAACAATTCACTTTTAACAAAGATAAACGTAAAAAACAAACAGAGTATTTAACATAAAATAAAACTAAACAAAAACAAAATATATAAATTGTAAGAATGTATGAATAAATTATTTAGTTTATAACTAATCTATTTTACTTTTTGACTGTCTGTCAAACACGGCAATTTTATATGCTTCATTGAACTTTTCTAAAGCTATAAATGTTAATACAGTGTGAGGTCCAATTCTTGCAAAATATGGCACAATGCCTTTCCACAAATTAAAGAAACCTTCATTCTTAACTACTTTTACCATAGCATTTATTGTGCCAGTATATTCTGGTACTCCATCAATAATTTTCATGCTTTGGATTCTACAAAAATAAAGTTTAATAATCATTGTATTGGTAATTTATATCTAAATTTTATTTTATTCATACCTAGTTTTGGCAATATCCACAGGCAGTGAGGCTACAGTTGTAATGGCACCAGAAGTCATTGATGAAGCAAAATGCAATATTATATTATCTTTGAAATAACCTAAAACAAGATTGGTTGAATACCAATACCATTAAATTATTAATTTTTTTTAACACTGATATAATATTATTATGTATATCTTAACATATTATGTATGTGTTAAAACAATAGTAATAATAATTGATCTACTTATAATCATGGGTTGTTTATTGATAATATAAACGCAATTCTTTAGTAAATTATAGTTCAACAATATTACAGTATTACATAAATGAAGATTAATACATTGATGAATACAATTGGAAAATATTGATATTTGTTTATTATTTTTTGAATTTAATAAAATCATTAAATAAAATTGAATGATTAATTAATTTTAAACTATATTACCTATAATTTGTTTGTAATTTAATACTATTCTTTTCAAATATACATGAAACATGGATAAATTCTTTATTTTTAAAATCACCTAAAATTATAAATTAAAAACGATGAGAGTAAATAATAGAACCTAAATAAAATAAAATTATTCAGTACACTGGAAAAATATTCATTATTTACTTAGTATTTGTAATATGAAATTCATCTTTTTTAACTTTAAATAAAAATTACTAACCATTATAGTTTATTTAACAGAGGTTCTCAAACTTTTCAGGCCAGGCCTCCCCCCTTTTTGGTTAACCCCAGACTTGAGCCCCCTCATAAAAATAATTTTAATAGTCATGTTTAGAGTAACAAAAAGTTAAAAACAAACAACAAATTTAGGCTAATATTGATATTAATATTACAAATTTATTTTAAAATAAAATGTATGTTTTATAAAAGGTTCTAATTAATCGGCCAACTTTATTATTATTACAGACATTTTACAAATTGTTTTCTGTCCTACCAATGCAATGTTGATTTTAAAAAAAAATTTGTGGCCCACCAGAGGGTTGCGCCCCACACTTTAAGAACCTTTGGTTTATTATTAATGGATAATTATTATATAATGATATATTTAATAAAAATGTTAAAGTTTTCAATATTACTTAACTAGATAGACAATAACTTATAATATTAAGTGATCAATGAAGTAGTTAACATTAGTAATAAGCTAATATAGGTATACAGTTTTTTTTAATAATCAATGGGTTGATTACAAGTATAGTTTTATACCAACTAAAAACTAAACTAATAAAAGTAAGCTTTAAATTTAAAACTTAAATGTAATAAGCTAACATTAAATCACATCAATAAAAATTATACAGTCATGGTTTATAATGGATCTTATACTTAAAGTTAATTACTATAATGATAATAAAATATTTTTAAATTTTGTCAATACTTTTTATAAGAGAAATTCAGAAATAAATAATCATTTTGAATCACTTAAATATATTAATTTAAAAATGGTCATAATTCAAGTATTTTAATTAAAAATTACATAGCTATTGTCAATACACTGAAAATTATAATTAATATATTAGTTGTGAAATCACGCAATTTAATATGAAAAAGTAATCACGTGATTGATTTTAATAATTCAAAAGAATTGTAATATATTATCTAATTTTTAATATTTACTGATAAGATTAAAGTAATTATTTTATTTTTATTTCTAGAAATTTAAATGTATTTAAAAGAACTCAACTGTATCTTCTTTTAAAAAATGTTAAGTAGAAAATAAATATTGAATAAAAATTTTTTAATTCAATAAGAAAATTAACAAAATAAAATTGACATAATGTTTAATACAGTTAGTTTTATTTTCATACTATGAGGAAAATTATAAAAATTGAACCTAATTAATAATTGTGTGTAGTGTGTGAATTATAAAATGAAGATAATATGCATTCATTTTGAAATAATTATTAATTGTATGCTTAATGGTTTTTACTGGATATTAAAACAATAGTAAGTACAGCAAAAAAAATGAAATGACTAAATATAATTTGTGAAACCTTTTAATTAGCTTAATTAAATTTTAATATCATAATACAAATGTATAAAATAATAATCTTTATTGCCGTTTAAAGAGTAATTTCATTAATTAATAATTTATTAAATAATAAAGCTAGGAATCAATTTACAAATTAAAAATCTATATAAACTAAAAGGTGTCTTTCATGAATACCTCTTTTATTGAATTAAAATTGTTGAAATATTTTATATAATTATAACTATATTAGAGAGCCAATTATTATAAGTAAATATTTTAGTTCACCTTTAATTGTTTACTGCTCAATGATTAAATCAATCAAATAACCATGCATACAACTTTTGATTAAATGTTAAATATGTAGTTTGATCCATAAACATTAAACATAAAAAATTGATAGCAGAAAGAGAGGTCCTTGAGGACAAATATTGCTAGAAAAAGATAGCATACAACTTATTCCATTTATACCTATTAAATTTAAGAAAAATAAAGAAGTTTAATAACAAAGATAACAACATTTTAATAAATATAGCACACACTTGGATTTGGTTAAATGTTTAAATCTATTAAATAACAATGTTGGCACTAGATAGTTTATAGTTTGGTATGGTGAACATGCAAATAAATATGTTTATGGTTAGATCATATAAATACCAGTCAATAATGTTAAAATTATTATCATATGATAAGTTGACTAACCCAAAATTAATTTTTAAAAATGCATTATTATAAATTAAAAATATACATACTGGAATAATATATGATTTATTATTCCATATTATTTGCCTACCTAATATTTATATTTAAATATGAGAATAATTATAAAAATGCAATGACATTTATTTATTATTAGCAATGTTTGAAGTACAGATATTATGCATGCATAATCATTAGTCATTATAAAAACATAAATGTATTCAATAAACTTAGACCCAAACTCATGTGAAGAAAATTGTCCATAGTGTTTTAACTCACCGCTCTTGAGATAAATTTCTTTTGATTGAGAATATGATGCAAGTTGAGCCATATTGACAACAGCTGCCCTTCCCATTGTGGCGATACATCCTCTCCACCATGTAGCAATACCTTCTTCCTTTGCAATCCTGGCTAATGCATTGAAAACACTAGTGTAACCACGTCTTTCGGACAATGGTAATTGTCCGTCAGATGTCATTCGTATGAGTGCTACTTCAGCCGGGGTACCGACAGCAGCACCAGTCACTCCAGACACCAGCGCCAAGCCCAGTTTCACCAATAGATTAGGCGGTTTGTTATCTTCCCTACAGGAATAAACAACAGACACGTTGTTCATAACACAAAAGTGAATGCTTGAGTGTTCTAGCAACACTCACCCAGTCATAATTGTGAACAAAGAGTTGTACATGCCCAACCGCGTAGTCGAATACGTGGCTTGTCTCAAGATTCCAGCTGACAGTCCGGGATAAAATGCAGTAACACCCTTCTCCTTTATCATGGAACGAACGATTCCGCCCATGGACTTTTGAGCTTCAGTGGCAGTGACATCGCGTCCGGCCATTTGCATGCGATTTTTCAGCACGTCCAACGGATGCACTATAACGGTGGCCACAGTCCTATAAAATGTAGATCATGACAACAATAACAGTAATAATGAACAATATTATTGTCATGAGCGGAGGCCATGTGCGTAGGTGATCTAATACTTACGCGGATAGTCCACCGTTGAAGAACTTGACCAAAGGCGGTAAAGGCACAGAATCACTCATGATGGCGTATGTGTGTGAGAACCAATTTGCTTTAAGAACTTTATTGTACGAGAGCTTTAAAGGTCTTTTTTGAACATGTCACTGCGGCGCTTACTTTGACGACTGCTCACAGCATATGTCTGTCGCAGCAGTAGGGAATTCGAAGAATACGTATTAATTTTTAAATGATTTATTATAGCACGCGGGAAACCGTTCGCGGTATCCCCACTAAATTTAATTGATTCCTAGGTAGTCGAACAGTCGGCGCGAATTTAATAAGAAGTAGTGACTGAGGGGGGGAAGAGAATTAATAATTGAACAAAAATAAAAAACATTTAACGTTTGCCATTAGCCGCCGAATGGCCGAATAATAGAATAAAATATAATGTTAGATAATATTATTATTATTATTATTATTAATGTGCACGCAATATCTCGACTATCGACATGAATATTAATTTATATTTAAATATTTCATAGATCAAGAAATTTTTTACATGGCACAAACGTAATAAAATTAAAAACAAACAAAAAAATTACATTATTATCAGCTAAGGAACCGCAAGGACGTCACATCCGTGGGCGTGAGGACAACCTTGGCCGCCAAAAGCGCTAAGAGTTAACGCGGGAAGCAGCTGACACGCAGATGATAATAATATACACTTTACGCGATCGTGAAAACTTCACTTCTGTGTTGCGACTTGCGACTTCTGACTGTTTCGATACGAAGATAATTTCCTATTATTCGACGTATTTTACAGACTTACAGTAGATTCGTATACCTACAACGTTTACAAACACGGCTAAAAACACCATACCACCATATTTGACCCCATAGATCCCATACGAGAATATTTTAAACGTCGCGTACATAAAAGCCCCGAATTTTAAAACAAAAAAATCACAGCGCTTGTTTTTCTACATTCAATTATTGGCCTTGAGGGGGTCAATCTATTAGAGACGTTAGTGTAATTGAATAGATTTTAAACCCACCAATTTGGTTTTCAATAAAATCAACCTTCGCAGCTTAAACTTGTTTCAGTTCTGGACTTACATGTATCATATTATAAATAGCTGAATTGCTTAACATAATAAATAATATTTAATAATATTAACGCAAATCCATAAAGCAGACAATAACCAGGACCGGATTGGCGCGGCGAGTTTACCAAATAAAACTCGGTGGACCGCTCAAAATATAGGCCGGTTATGAGTTTTAAATTGTGATTTTGTATTTTTATAATAATAATAAATTGTTAGAAACATAAGTAGAAAATATTAAATCGAATTATTTAACCACGTGGTAACTGTAACGGTAATTAAATGTTAAAAATCCTAAAACTCGGTTGGCCGATACCTTGCCAATCCGACGTTGATTATAGTACTCAAAATCAAAAATATTTATAAATTTGTTATCTACGTTATTCTGAATCTGTAATCACAGTCGATTATAAAATAATATTGACGTGTAATTAAACTTTTTTATCTCTTTTTGAGTAATTAATATTAATTTAAAATGGTTTTTTTTTTTTTTAATTAATATAATTTAAAAATTTAAAAAAAACTTGACACTTTAATTTAAAATTCTTTATGATGTATATAATTAACAAGTAATGAAAATGCATACCTACAGTCACTGGAATTTTTTTCAAACATTTGAACTTTAAACATTAAATATTGATAAAATTAGATTTTTAAATAAAAAATAACAACTTCTCACTAAACTATTTTAGTTGTTTTATAATTTATTTGAATTTAAAAAAATATTAAATACCTACTCGTAGAAATTTGAAACTTTTTTCCAACATTGCCTACTTTTATTATTATTTTCTGTAAACACGATTAAATGTTAAAAATATTTAGATTAATTTTAAGTTATTTTAATATCTATCACAAACTTATTTACATCGTTGACCATTCTATCACTCTATGATATCAACATATTTTAACAAAAAATAACTAATAACAATAAAATAAATGAAAAACGTTTAGACTCTCCAGAAATAGAGATCTACATCTACTCATCTCGTATTTCGCTAAGTACAGTTACTCTTTTGTTTCATATATACTTATACAATAATACAACCATTGAATTCAAATTTATTACTATTACAATACAGTGATCTACTTAATGACGAGGTACATTTATTTTAAACTAGAAAAGTGACTAAACAAGTTCCCCAATTTTTTAACATTTTGAAATCAACCAACTAAATATAAATATTTTATATTTATATAGGTACGTATAATGTATTACAGAATGTGTGAGTATTGCACATAGATAATAGATATTGGATCTTTCTCTTTTTGTTTAGATACAATAATAATATGTTCGATAAATTGTATGTATGATTAGTTCAATATAAACAGACCACAGTATTAAATGTACCTATTACCTACCTAAGTTTTACGATTAATTATGTACGCATAACATTACACTTATAAATAAAACTATAGAATGCTATATATATATATATATATATATATATATATATATATATTACCTATTTATTTCTCTATTTTATGTCAGTATTTTAAACGGTTATCAATACTACAGGTAATAATTGTATGATAATAAATTATATAATATAATATGGCGTATAATGATGTATGTTTTTTACGTATGTGTAATATATAACCAGTGTTGAATTCAGACAGTTTCTCTAGGTGTTCATTTTTTTTTTTCATTGGTGAGTGTTTATACATTTTAGTATTATGAATTATACCTATTATTAATTATTACAATTTACAATTATTTAGATATTAGATGCGGTAATCATAACGAGTATTGTGCCACCAGGCTCCTACGTCAGGCGGTTGGCCTAGGATGGCAAATTATATACCCAGAATTAGATGTCTATTTTAACCTTTGTACAAGGAGCGGGTGACCAAAATGATTACATAAAATTATAAACAAGTTTTTTAATGCACCGTCATACTACAAATATATATTAAAGTACAAACTTTTGCAAATAATTTATTATATATATAATAAATATGGTAATATAGAAAAACGGGCACCCAAATACAAAATAATATATATATATATTATAACAATAATAATAAAAAGATGCGAAATGCATGTATACAGAAAATTAATAAACAATAAATTTTGTGTGACTGTTATCACAGATAAGAAATATCATAGTAAAATTAACAGTAACGATACCGTTCGGTCGTCCGCGTTAAAACGCCTGGACCATTAACGATGTGACCTGCACTGGGCTGATTATAAAATAATAATGTAAGTACATCGCGATCAGGTCCTTGACCTCCAAATCGCGCGTTAAAAATACGACAAAAAAAATAATATTGTTTTTACCGAACGGGGTTAATTTCACGACGTCGCGTATATTTAATGTAATAATATCATTCGCACTTCTAACGAAGATGACAAATAGAAATAATTATAATATTATTAAATACACGCGCGGTACAAGGCAACACAAAAGATAACGGCACAAAATGGCCAATATAGCGATGGCACTGAACGTCGCCACACGTGGCGAAGGCGACAACAACCAAAAACCGAATAAAACCCAAGCAAAAGTCGCAAAGGCGACGTCTCGTCCGACTGTCGTGCGGAGAGGAAAACAGCTGGTTAAAAATACGTCCACCGCTAGACAAAACGCCGATTGCACACCGTCAAGAGGAGAAGAGGTTGACGATAGAGTTCAAAGAGCTTATCACGCACAAAGATCGTTGGGCTCGGCATCGAAATATCGCCGAGCAACGCGATAATCGAAATATATCTTGAACAAGTATTGTGCATTTGTGTATTTAATAAATAGATGCACTTTGTTAAAAGTTGTATTTGTTAGGGGATGTAAAAAAGATTTCAGTGAGGGGCATATGCATAAACATTTTAAAATACTTAATGGAAACGTATTAGTTAATTATAATTTTATAATAAATTAATACACTCGTCGATTATAACTATATTTTAAAAGCATCATTTTACTTTCATCAAATAATAGATTTTAAGGACACGATTTAACTCTACATCTCCTTTTAATTCCATTTTTTGATTTAGTACGTTTTCGAAACTTAAAATCATGGAGAATTAACAACGGTTTAACTATTTTACTAAGAGCTTGTTTAAAATAATCCATATGGTAATGTTAAACAACTCAAACTAATACTTAACAAAAATGTATAAGTAACGGCTATATCATCAATGTGTTATTCTATATAGTACAGTATATATTGTGCAATGAAACAATTAAGCTGATAAATATCCAACGATAATGAAAACTGATTTTCGCCTATCACTCAAATTCATACTTGTACGATCAAATGTGCGTAATAATAATAATGTTTTGTGAAATTCTCGATACTGATATAAAATATATTATAACAGTCACTTAAATCAGTAATCAAATAATCAATAAATAAGTTTTTAATTTTTAAGCAATTTTGTGTGTAGATTATTTATGTCGATGTTGATAGAACTAGATTGAACAATAATATTTTCATACCTGAAGATGGGAATATTTAAATATAAGCGCATTTGGTATACTGACTAAAATATAAGGAGCGCAATTGGTACACTGGCCCTAAACAAAAATGTTGTTTAAGGCGCAATTGGTCCATGCCCTAATATATTAATTAAAAGCAAGCATTTTATCATACTTAGTCCAATTTATAATACCCACGCGACAAGTGTAATAATCAACTATTACTTAACATTTAAATAGATATTTGTCATTGAAACATTTATAATATTGTGAACACTAAATGAGATACTTGATTACCTGTACCTACCCATACTATAGTCGCAATGATAGAATTCATACAAGTATAAAACTATAACAGGTTCACACAATGTAGTTTAAAAGTTAAAATATAAATTATATTAGTAGTTAGTACCTACTTAATAATATATACTAAATAATTCACGGCAACACTCTTTAGCTATTATTTGTAATTAAAACGATTTAATTTTAATCAAAATTTAAAAATTATCCTAATAATATTAATCCCATTCAAAGACCTGTAGTCTATACATGAGATTAAAAGTAATCATAAATTCAAAAATTTTAAGTGAAAACATAATAAGATAAGTTAAAATTACCCAATATCTTATAATAAAGCTTGCAATAATATAAAATGCTGAATTAAATACTTATGTAGGCGAGTACAAAAATTGTATACGTCATTAATCACTCACGTCTCACACGATTCCATTTCAATTATATGATTGTAATTTTCTTGAAGAGTTATAACAGGACTTGCAACACTTTACACTACATACATTATAAATATTATAATACAGGTATAACATTTTTATTTTAAATGTAGGTAAGTAGATAACGTAAAATATGATCACGTTCTAAGGATGCAAACTACAAAGTATTAAATACCAAGTTTAAAGCATACTCTATATTCAACATTAAAATTATTATTAAACACTCAAAAAACGATATTATCTATAATAATCAAGTACTTTTGTAATTGTACTTATTATACCGATGTTTAAATTATAAGTAATAATAATTAAAGAAACCGTGTTTTATACATGGGTGAAAAAGTTTTCTCAATTTGCTCGAATTTCCATTATTAACATTTAGTTGTAGATACTGTCACAAAATGATTGATTTTTATTTTTTGACAATATAGGTATTTAAAATCTTGAAAATTCACAAACTATTTTGTACTTATAACACTTTCTATTCAAATATCTAGGATTTTAAATTGTAATGCAGTATCTCTCTGAAGTTGTTCCATCTAAAATATCATGAAGACGTGTGCGCAAATTTATTCAAGAAATTTAAATTCAAATTTTCTGTTTTTCTATCTTTTCTCAGAATTTTTTATTTGAATAAAAAGTGGATGAGAAATGTCTACTTAATATTTTTTTTAAACTGACCATAAAGCAGAAGTAAGCTATCCGGTTTTTATAATTTATTTATATTGACAAATAGTTGCCGTTTACGAAACATATCAAGGAAAATAAGGTTTTTTTTCAACCAAAATATTTATCAAAGTAATATATTTACTATTAATACAAACTTCCGTGTCTCCATACGTCTTCTTTGTTAAATTTTAATATAATATTAATCGTATATCTAATTATATGTGTAAATATACATTCAACACTTTCCTATGGCAATTTCGGGAAATATTTCTAAAAGACACCAAGTAGCTTTTCTGGCGACAACATCTTTAGTTCAGAAAAATTTCAAAAAGTTGAACTTATAAACCTAAATAATTTACTTTAAATTAATATTTATTATTTTTCATTTAAATAACCGGACACAAATTCCATAAGTTAGTTTGCACTTTAAAATATAAACTTTGGCAACATATTTTATATTACTCATAGATTTATTTATAGATTTTATTAAAAGCCATCTAATCCTTCCCGTAAATAATTTTAAAGAATTTATATTGTGTACATTATATCGTATATCCCTTATTTTTACGTTAGATCTTACTTATTAGTTAATACATTCACATACGAGCTAAGTATTTGCTAATTAAGTTGTAGGTACCTACGAAAGAGTAATATTATCAAAATATATTAATCAATATAGTTTTGAAAAAAATTATGCGATACTGTGATCGGTATCACTAGTTAATAGCTGGTATTGTCCATAAACTAAATAAACAACAATAAATTACAAGGCCTTATAAAGTGTTCTAGCAAGTAACAACAAAATAACCAGTCGTGTACAGACGCACAATAATATTATTATACACAAGGTCATAAACGCGTGATTTGACACGATTTGTTAGTTATTCATATCATACTTGTAAACAGTTAATATTATAGTTACAGACGAATCATAATTTATTATGTAAAGGTAGGTTAACCTATGTATATTATTTTAATTTTTGGTATTTAATACTATTTATAGGCTTTATTTGATTCTATCCCTATCATAACGTAATTTCGTTAAAATATTCATTAGACATATTATTATGGCTAATCCAGGTCAAGTACTCAAGTCTTAAGTTGTTATCTAACTTATCCAAGTCATTAAAATTAAACTGTATGGTTTAGTTTTTAGTTAGGCACGAGTATATCAATATACTATGTTACATTCGTGACTCGTATCGCCAGTATACACACTGACACAATACTGAATAGCAGTATCACAACTACAAATTTTAAACAATCGTTTTATATTTTGATTTAAAATTATTGATTATATTTTCTAAATTGCAGACATTACAATGATAGTACATAAATTACCTTCGAGAGGAGAACTTTTTTGGGAAAGGGGTCTGGTGGAGAATTGAGAATTGAGAAGACTTAATAAGTTAGTCATCCAGCCCACCCTAATTTATGACACTAACTCTCAATAATAAATATTTACCTAGTTGTAGACCTATCTCGTTAAAGTATTATCTATTCTACGGGTGGTTGTTGCCAATTTAATCATTTTCTATATGGTTGTTACTTGTTGCTGTATAAATAGTATAAGTAAGTACACTTTAACGGCTTCTCCAGTGCTCGAATTGGGAGGGAACACATAGGAACTCAGCTCCTAAACTAGCTTTTGATATTAATTAGCGTTCCCATACTAAATTTTCTTAAAAGAACGCACGAGTACGCAATCAAGCAATATAAAATATAAATTACAACAAAATATTTTTTGTATATTGTACCATACGTTTTTTAATTGAATTTCCTACCTATAATATGTTTTTTTCTATTTAATACAACTAGGAAAAAAATTAAAAGTTTGAAATTATTAAAAGCGTGAACATATTAACACTTAGTCAAAAATAATATACATAAGAATTTATTTAATTTAAAATATGATGGTAGTAATTAAGGGGTTGTAGAGGCAAAGCTTCCCACAGGTTAATGTTGAATAAATGTTCAGTTGGAATGCTGTTTATTTAATTTCTATTTGAATTTCCATTCTTTTAATTTACCAATTCGAGTATTGGGCTTCTCTCTTAATTTTTACATATTTTTATGTTCCATGCGGTATTAACATGAATGAATAGATAAAGTAGTAACATGAGGATATACCTAAGACGTCTCTCGTTATAACGGTTAACTGTATCGGTTGCATAAAATATTCACAAAAGGTACACTCGTCACTCATTATAATAAATCATATTTTGTACACACAGAGTTATGCATACACACACACATAATATATATTATAAATATATATATAATATAAAACGACTTATGATTGATTATTATTAATAAAAATGTTTAATCTTTTAATAGATTTAATCACACAACAACCACGCGCGAAACACAATATCAATGTATTACATAAAAGTATATAACAAAATGCACAATATAATATTATAATGTATAATATTATGTCTCTGATCATCAATAATCATAGTACATAGGTACCTAATTTCGCCTATAATTAGTTAAAATTTAAAACCGCTATAAGTAGTTATCTTTAGCTATATTATATATGTTATATGTATATACTATATACAATATACATAAACATATAAAGGAAGCCATAATCATATAATGTATATATTAAGTTGATTGTTCTGACTTATGACTTATAAACATAGTTGTACAATAACATTTGCATGTACATGTCACGACGTTATGCTAAATTTAAAAATAGTATATCACACAAACCCAGTGAGTGATTTATAAATTATAATATTATAATCATGTGGGTATAATAGTTTTAATAAGTACAATTTGATTTAAAAATTGCAATATACTAATATTATACTCACAGGTCCGCAATATAATACTATAATAGACACTTTTCAGTATATACATGCGCACACACATACTAACATTGGTCTTAAAACACATAAATACTTATTTTAAAATCCATGTGTTTTTATATGTAAATACATATAATTACAGTCAATAATATCACACAAGCGTAAAAATTTTTGTTACTACTGTGTAGGTACACATGATATTTTTTAATAGCGTAATCAATAAGTACACTCTATATTACTTCTATAGTTTATACGAATATAATACGTATACCCATGTATAGCATAAATTATTGTGTATTATCATGACGACTTACGAGCGATGACATAAACACATCTATGCGTATTATTATGTATGTGCGATGTCGTTATGATTTAAGTAGTTATATGAATTAGTAAGAATGTACATACTTTATAGTTGTGTCGTAATGTGTATCTATGCATAATGTATACAATAGTTTCCCGCAATAACAATACGCGGTACCTACTATAACGTTTAAGTACTCATACACGAGGATACGACGTTAATAAGCGCAGAGAAAATAACATTTCTACAAGAACTGCTTACAAAAACATCAAATACGGTTTTTATTATTTTCATTAAATACCGAAATATAATATATATATATATATATATATAATTATGTAGACTATAATATATCAAACAGTTACTAATGTACCTACAATCAGTTAAAGGACCTCTAAAAACTTTATCTATCAAATCACGTGACCCTTTGACCTATTAAGTACTTTGTATCAAAGCACGTTCTCGTTTTTTTTTTTTTTTTTAAAGAAAAATTTTAAACAGTCCCATGTGCATAGTTATATTCTGTGTTATTTATTCGTGTGCAGTAAGTAACTAGTACCCATTGTAAATACCAGTATTCATCAATGATAACTACCTACTAATAAGTAATAGATACCTGCAGCATGGCTGCATATCATAATCGCGTATGCAGATATTGTAACGTATATATTGTATATTATATAGAAATATAGTACCTACCTATCTCTTACCTAATCTCTTAATATTATTAAACTTCATCCGGTTTTAAGAAAAAAACAATTATTGTGTTAAGTTTGCAGGCACATGAATATGACATAGGTACCATATATTGCCAATCATTATATACCTATTTATCACTATTCTACAAAAATGGGCATTAACAAGTTAATTTTTTTTAACTTTTTAACTTAACCAGGTGGTTTATTTTCTAATCAACTTACGAGCTTCAGGAGTTTAATTGACAGTTGAAATAACTTAGCTTACTTAGCTTTTTGCAGTTGATATAAGAAATTTTTTTAATAAAATTATAAATTAATAATTGTATTATTTTAATGTTTTATGACCTTCAATTACTATATTATATAAAAAAATAATATTTGTTAAATTATTCATTTGAAATATGTATAGTTAAAATTAATTAATTATAAATCATGTAACATAAAAGAGTATATTTACACTGTACAATGTGCATTATGATAAAAATAAAATAAAATTGTTTTTTATAATTTAGTAAATTAGGAAGACTTACCTAGGTAGTCATTCTGTATGCGATTTTCATATTAATTAAATAAAAATAAATTAACTTTTTTTAAACTGAGTTAAGTTAGTATTTTTTTTCTATATTAAATATTAACTTATCGAGTTAAATTTATAATTTGTTAACGGTTAATTTTTAACTTATCGATCTTGTGCTCTTTTAACTTAACTAAACTTGAGTTAAATATTTTTAATACTCGAGTTTTGCACCATTGCCGTATTCATTGTTTTGCTGATGACATAAAACTCTATATGCGAGTAAGTACTATTGATGACTGTCTTAAGCTGCAAACAGACTTCGACTCTTTTTCTATATGGTCAAGTCCGTTGGGACTTTTACTCAATCCCTCTGAGTGTCAGGTTTTTACTTTTGGTAAAATAAAATCTCCTTTTAAATTTCCTTATAGTCTGGGTGAAAACAATATTCCACGAGTATCTGATTATGTAACGGACCTTGGCTTCAAATTAAGTTGTTACCTTGATCCTAGTTATCACATTAATTACGTGTGTTGTAAGGCATTTAAATCACTTGGGTTTGTTATGAGGTTATCTAAAGACTTTCAGTTTGATATTTCAATTAAAACGTTATATTGTGCCCTTGTCCGCCCTATTCTTGAATATGGTTCTGTTGTCTGGGATCCCCATACAGCTAATGATTCACGGCATTTGGAGCGAGTCCAACATAGGTTTCTGCGTTTTGCGTGTCGCATATTGCATATCCCTTGTCATTCACATGATTATTCTCCAGTAGCTAATGTACTTGGTCTATCTTCTTTAGCTGAACGTAGACATACTGCGGGTATTAGGTTCATCGATGGGTTATTGAATGGTAAAGTCGAATCGTCTGCAATTTTATCCCTAATTTGTTTTAAAGTACCTCAGCGTTCAACCAGATCTACTACTCCTTTTTACGTCCCGCATTCCACCACAAATTACATAGCAAATGAGCCACTTAGGCGATTAATGTCTAACGCCAATGCGGACACTAACTTCACATTTTGTTGATATCTAAATTGTATGTTTTTCCCCCTCCCTTTCTTTCTTTAATTATTGTTAGCATTGTACTATTTTGTACTTATTTATTATTAATGTAAATATTAAATGTATTATAAATTATTTATAATATCTAAGTATATAAAAAAGGGCTAAGTCCGTAAAATAAAATAAAATAAATATTTTCATTAGCTTGCCCATCTTTGCTATTCTGTAGGAAGGTACCTACCTTCTAGGAAAGTACCTATTGGCAGGACCTAATTTTATTAACCTAAAGCAAGGCTTAATATTAAGCCTAAAGACTTAAGACTAAAGCCCTTAATACTAAAGACTTAATATACTAGTCAGCCTAGTATATTATTTACATTGTTTTAAAGTACCTATACCTACTCTGTAAATTAACGTCCTTTTTTTACTTTGCAAATAGGCATAAATTTCAACGCAACAACACTCGGTATCTTACCTACTGATATAATATAATATTCAAACAGTATTTTTATATGATTTAGTAAGTAGGTATTATACTCGTAATATAGTCGTAGGTACCTATTTAACGGAAATATTAAATCTTTATTTCACTTTTAATAACAATATATTAATACCAGTTTAAATTGAATGTTTATATACCTACCTATTATTACATAATTCATGCGTATCATTGAATTTAATTACGAAAAAAAAAGACAAGAGCAATAATGCGCTGTCTTTACCTTTTACTTGCGTTAATCTGGGCCAGGGTACCTATTACATGTAGGTATTGATCATTGATGATGCTTATTGAATGTATATCATGTATGCAAAATGCATAAATAATACTGCTTAATTATGAGTCTGTGTGTAATTTGTAATCGGGCAACCCATCACTACAGACGATTTATTGCATGTGACTACTTATATTATATAATACTTGCGTGTTTTTAAAATGTGCTGATAATATATTATGCCACATTACCGTTGCACATTCAACGCTGTTTTATTAATTATCATTGAGCTGTTTTTATTTTTATTCTTTCATGTGTCATTATGTAGATTTGCAATATTATTATGATTAAAATATGTACGAAGTCTTTCTACAGTTTTTTTAACAACCTGAACAAAAACACGCTATATATATATATATATATACATAATACATATTATTTATATGTGTGTGTGTGTGTATGAGTGTATTATACGTTCGTTATATAGATAATGACATTGTGTATAGAAAAAAATAATCAATATAATAGGCACTGAAAAATCTCAGTCTCAACATTTGGAGGGGGGAGGGTAATACATGACATTTGATCCCTTACCGCAACCACAAATTGTTCTCTGTTGTCGTATAACTCATAACTCTTTTAGGTTCTATATTCCTACCAAACTCAGATCCTGATACCGTATATGGTCATGTCATCGTCTTTCTCGTCCCAGGAGTACCGATCTTCTAATATGGTAACCACAAAGTTATTTTAATAAACATTTTTTTGTTCTGTGCTTCAGACATTTCTTACACATCCTAATCCAATTATTTTGTACTTTAATACTGCTACGAGAAGCAATCAAAAAGTAAACTGGCGACCCTTGAGCCTTTTTTATTTGGCCCGCACTACATTTTCAAATTATATCATACAATTTTAAAGTTAAAAATTCACATTATAAACAGAATAAATGCATATGAATGATCTTTTTTTTACTGTCAATGTTCTAACTCACTAGATTTTAATTTTCTAAAATTTGGCAAAAGTGATTTTGAGTTGCCCATCCATACCATACCCTACGTAATGATATCATGTATTTTTTTTTTTCGATTATTATTAAATCATTTAAACCCATAGCCTTACTTTTTCTACTAGGTTTAGCTTTATTGATTTTAGGTTTATTTCTGATTCAGCTGTAATCATGATGTCATCTCTATACGCCGCTACAATAATTAAAGTGTTTTCTTGGATTTTAACCCTTGTATTGATTTCTAGTATACTTTTTATACTGTATACTCGTATTGAATAACACGGAGAACAGTGCATCATTCTTAAATCATTTTTTACACAAAATTCATCCGAAGTCTGTTAATTATACTTCACCTTACACTTTGAACTTATAACGGAAGTTTATATTACTTTACCAATTTTTCCGAAAATTCAAACTTCTGCAACATCACATAGTATAAAAATTCTGTGGTAAATGATTCATAGATATACTATAGTTTATAACTTATGAAAAGTTAGAGATCTAATAAATCTTAATTAAATCTATGCTTTTCTCCATTGATTTACTTGGATTTTGTCCCATGTGTGATTTAACTTTCGGGAATCCTGCTCGTTATTCTCCCACAAATTCGATTGTATTCGATTGGTAAAGTTTATTTAGAAAAACATTCCACAGTACCTTGTACACTGTGAATGCAGTGATATTGCTCTATAGCAATGTTTCTCAACCGGTGTAGAACTGGTGAAGTGGCTGTGATGTGCCGCGACCGTGGTACACGTGTGCACCTATAGTGTTATAAGGTTAGGTTTAATTAATTAATTTTTAATTATATATTAATAATAAAAATAAAAATGCCTGTTTGCTTTTTATTACTTAAGTGTTCCATCAAACTATATAATTTATAAGAAGTGCGCTGTGAGCATAAAAAAGTTGAGAACCGCTGCTCTATAGTTTATGCAGTCCATTAAATCTGTCTTTTTTATACTAAGCATAAAAAAATCAAGGGAGGTATTCCATTGTCTCGTTAGTGATTTATTGAATTATTTTTCCTGGTTATTTTACTAAAATACGATCTACTTTGAATTAGGTACAGCAAAATGACTAAAATTATTGTTTTAATTTATTAAATTTAATAATTTATTTAATTAGGTTGATGTTAAGTTTTAAGACGGTGAGAAAATAAAATATTTGTTTTATCATATTGTTACACATCAAATAAAAAAATCATTAATAATATATTTGATGCTAACTAGATAGTTTAAGTGTTCGCAAAAGTAATGCAAAAGCTGTGTAGCCGAGGCCCTGAGGGTTATCGATCATCTACCTCGATATATTTTCAATTCATTGTTTGGAAAACGGTTGACTTTAAAATTATTAATTTCAACAAATAAAATAAATAAATAAGGAATGAACAAAAATAATTTAAACATAAAATACAAAACACTGATTTTATTGAACATGTAAAAAAAAAAAACACGGAAATATTTTATTTATAAAACTCATTACACCTCCTCAATCCTTAACAATTAAAAACTATTATTGTTGTGTATAAATTATCTTAAAAAAATTACATAAATAACAATTCAATAATTATACAAAAATAAATTAAATTAAAATTTATAAAATATAAATGTTTACAGCATAGATTACTCGAGATGACTTGTTACTTATAAATATTCTGATCATTTTTTTGACTTGATTTTTGTAAATCAAATTTTAAGTAAAATGCATGCATGTCAAAAATGTTAATACAAATAAAACCATCTTTAAATATTTTAATATGTTCTAAGCATAATATTTATTTGAGACATTTTGTGCATGTAAGTAATTTTAAATAGAGTAATACAAATATATTATTTGATCTTTTTTTAATAATTTATTAAAAAATATAATTAAGAAATATTCAATATCATTAAATTTAAATTTTAAAATACATATCATTGAGGTTTATTTACCCAAAACATTTATAGATCACCTTATTATTTTTTATTTATAATCTTGAGAAAAAATACAGAATTAACAATAATATCATAAAAGGTGAACTGTCAATAACTAAAAATACTACATAGTGTATCATTTTATATATAAAAATAATGGTTTTTTAATGTGATAAACAAATAGTAAAATTCTCTATAAAAATACATATTTAAAGTAAATTGTATAAAGTTATAAATAAAATACTAAATGTCATATACTTTAATAATATGTGCACTGTACTAACTATGGACAACAAAAGTGAATTATTTTTAATATAAATAAGTGTATATTTTAGAATTGTAAAATTTAATAATTTTTGGCACAAAATGTTCAATAAATGAGCTTTTAAAATTAAATTTTAAGCATATCTTAATAATATAACGAGTTAGTAAAATTATATCATTCTCATAGAAATAAAAAATAATTCTCTCTTAGTGAAATTTTTATCAAAATATGTAGCGAATTACTTTTTATTTACCATAATATGATTTTTATAATAAGTTTTGTACAATCGAGGCCAATATTTGTAAAAAAAACTTCAAGGCTTCACAAGTGATACTATCCACCAACCTAACCATTATTATATATTACATATACATTTGTTTAACATATCAAATTATTAGACGATTAATAACATATGTACTTTATTCAAGAAAAGAGTGAACTGCTTAAAAAATGAAAACTAATCATGTCCATATATTATCCAGTGTTTATTTTAGAGGATTGACCGGGGGTATACCTCTCCCCCCAAATAGAAGATCTAGAATAAACACTGCATATACAGTAAGTCCTCGTTTAACGCTGAGGTTAGGTTCCTGGAAAACACAACGTTAAACAAAAAAAACATTAAGTGAAACACTTTTTAAATTACATACTTTTATATGAAATTTATATAAATATAACAATAATTTGATGAACACATGTATTACAAGCGACGTTATACTGAAACCATTGCAGTGTTAAACGAAATATAAGGACTTAAACTTCTACGACGCTATAGCGAAACAACGCTAAATGAAGTGACGTTAAACGAGGACTTACTGTATCTCAAATCTGTAAACAGCTACTGCAGTAAAAATTAGTAAAAACCAACAGCTATAAATGAGAGTCCATATAAGTCACCTAAAGAGTTTGCATAAATAAGTGCAGTTCAATTTTATCCTGAATAGAGTATATATTTCTTCAAAAATCACAAAACCAAGATGTTAATGAGGAACAAAAAAATCAAAAAATATTTTGGATTAGTCGCATAAACATAGTGAGCACAGTGCATTTTTAACCCTGTATATTTTCACATTTTTAAACATTGAGCTGTAAAACACTAACATATTACTACATATATCACTTAGTTACATGAACATAGGTTTGAATAATTAAATACTGAAGGCCCTTATATAAATAATTGTTATCATTTTTTTTTTTTTTTAACAAAATATACACCTTAATCTAGGACTAGAATTTGAGAGTAATAATGAATAAGATTTCGAAATATACGAAACATTTATATTTGGCTATACATATTTAAGCCGTCTAATGGTAATAGGCTTATTGTTTGAATTTAGTGATCATTTTCAGAAAAATGAAAAACTAATTATATTTTTATAATATATACTCCACTCCCACTTATAATGTTAATAATATGTTATTTTTATTGAGAAAGAAATAATTTAAATATTTAATACATTATTTTTAATTAAAAAGATTTGATTCATGTATGTTTGACCGATATTAATACATAAATGTATATAGCATTTATAGAGATTGGATAATTAAAATCTGACAGATATTGTCCTCAATTTAGATCATTTGTATTAAAATAACACTAATTGTATTTTGCATATTTGTAATTCTATAGTGAATGTTTTTATGATAAAAAACAAACTTAGAAATTATTAAAGAAATACTTCTTTAATTGAACAGTGAACAGTTTAACTTAAAAAAATCCCAAGATAAAAAATTTAAACTTTAAAGCTAAATTTACATAAAAAAAATTTTGAAATAATTCCCGGCATAGTAAAAATTATAAAAATTCACATGTTATCAAAAGTAATGATCAAAATCAAAAATGTAAAAATCACACAAAAAAATCAAAAAACCAAATTGGTATTTTTAACAGTAAAGAAACCGGTTTTAAAATCATTTCAAAGGTTATAAAAAGAAAACAAAACTACCCGAGAATTTTAATGCAAGTGATATAGCATGTATGAAGTACAAATAAATACTGTTGACATTAAGCAATTTTTTTATACATAAAAATGTACTCACGGATAATTGGAGGAAGTTGACATACAATCACATTAAGTAACTTGATTATCTAGTGCAGTAAAGAAAAATATGAATTCAATTCTTTTTTTACTTTTTATTAATATGGGCCAATACTTTAAATTGAAGATAAAGAAAGTTTTTAGTGAAGAATGTAGAATACAAAATACCCTTTTTAATACTTAATTTTTAAGTGATTCTAAAACAAAATGTTTTCTATTAAATTTTAATAGCACATTAAAAATAAATAAATATTTTGTGGCATATTACAGTATTTTTTATGCATAAAAATGCATTCCCTATTAATAACTATTATTTCCATTAATTTAAACCTGAATAAGGGCTAGATAAGATGCTCAAGACAGTGTTTAAAATATTAATGTATATAAATAATGTAAAGGGTAAAGGAAGATTACCTTTGATATATTTAAATGTGATTAAATCATTACAATTACACTAAACAGTTTAAAAAATATGGTATAAAAAAATTCAATCACATTTTAAGAAAACGGTCAACCATGTCCTCCTATAGTGATTTAATCACAAATAAATTTCAAATTTCCATATAAATGTTTCAAAGAATATTGTCATGGATAAAACTATTAACCATAAAAGCAGATGGTAGAAAAACAATCATACTTAACTACATTGAAATCTTATTAGCTCAAAACTCAGAAGTAAAAAAAAAAAAATCTTTAGAAACATTGTGTAAACTGTATACAGAGTATCTGGAAAATAATTGAACACAATAACTTTGCATTAGGTTTGGAAAAGTTAATATATCAAAATATGTCAATATTTTGATATAACACTTTCAAAAATTTTAAAAGTATTTTTATCTCTACCAATCTAAGGATTCTAGTTATATAGGTTTCAATATTTAGTTTTGAGTTATCAAGAAGTTAATGTTTTAAGTTTTTCCCTTTTCTATTTCTTTCTCAACTTCCATTTTTTCTTCACCTTTATTATTATTAGTACACTCGTCTTTATCATTACCTTTTTCATTGGTTTTATCTTCTTTCGATTCAGATTTTTCTTCAATTTTATTGGCAGGTAATTTATGTACATCGAGTGATTGAGGTACAGCCAAAGTAGCCTTTTTTGCCTGACATTGTCTATGATGAGTATATAAGGGGTTAAAAAGTACACTAACTGACGGTGGCAAAGAATTGTGATAAGCTGAAGATGGTGGACATAACTCAGACATAGCTTTAAGAAAATCATTTGTATCTCCTGGATCTCCATTTGAATTATTTGGAAACGATCCATACATAAATGGATTTAATGGGTTGGTAAATGGATTATGGTTTGTTGGTCGAACAGGTAGTAGAGCTAAAGAATGAGCTAATGTATTTTTTTTAGGAATAGGTTTTTTAGGTTTTTTAGCTGGAGAAGAAGGCATAATTGGACACAATGTTTGAGGATTAATTTTCATTAGAGGCACTTCAGCTAACCTCTTCAAACTATCTTCAGCCTTATCATCATCTTTTTTATCATCTCTTGATTTGAAAAATTTTTGACCCTTTTTATCAATACCATTTATTTCTTTCTTTTTGGCTAAAACTGAAGTTTTTGATATACTTGGATTCCAATGTTTTGTCGGGGATGTTAATGTCTTATATTTGGTTCCTTGCTTTTTGATCTTTTCAACAATGGTATCTAATTTTGGTTTAGTCTTTTTTATCTTAGACCCAGGGTATACTTTTAAAGCTTTTTTTTTATCATCATCTTTTTCATCGTTTAGATCACTAGATTTAGATGGATTTTCATTTTTAACTATTTCAGTAGGCTCTATAGTGACATTAGCTTGTATTGTTTCTCTACTCTGGTTAATATTTGTTACTTTCATGATACCATTTTCACTTATTTCCAATTGTACTTCTTTAGAATCTGTTATTTTGTCAATGACCATTACTTTTTCATCTTTTTTTGGTAATACTTCTTCAATGCATATCTCTGTATTGACTACATTTTGTTGCAAATTGTTTTGTTTTTCTTCAGATTTTTCATCATCTTTTTTAGATTCTACTGTATTTTCTTCTTTTGAAATTTCATCGTTTAAAAGAGGTTCAGTTTCAATTTTAAGAATTCGATAAGTCATTGTAAGTGGATCTTTCTAAAATTGAAAATGTAATTTAATACCACAACATATTTATTAAATAATTATTTAAATATTTACCCTTTTCCAATCAAACATGTAAACAACATCCATTAAAGTTAAGTGATCATCTAATAAATAATTCTGGTAGAAGAACTCAACAAGATGATCAGTTGGTATTAATTCATATTTAATGTAAACTAATTTTTTTAAATTTATAACTGTCAATGATGCAGGACACCACAGATATCGTTTATGTTTTTCTTGTATGTTCTGTGCAAATGAAAAAAAAATGGTTAAATTTAAATAATTCTTTGAAACGAGAAAGAATATATTTTTACTTTTTTATCAATTTTTTCGCATTCGTAATAAAGACATATACTGATTGCATCATTGGCAGCAAATATATGATAGTCATCAGGTACTACACCACGACTCATTGGGTCCTTGGGTAAATACACTTTGTTTCGATTGTAAAATTCTTTTCTCATTATCATTTCCTCTATAATAATCATAATAATGATAACATAATTTTGAATTAGTTAAATATAAAGTTTTTATTTAGTACAATGTTATTACTCACTTTGAAATAAACGCGGGACAAGTTTATAAACAATATTTTGTAAGGTGTGGTCTGGCCGGATATTTGTTAAAGGTTTTGATTTGTGAACTAATACATCGCATATTGGACAATATTTGTTGCGTTCGAGATACTTGACAATACAACTTCGACAAACTAAAAAATAAATTAAATATTTAACAAATAAAAAATATATTTATGTTGATATTTAACTGCAAATAAACCCATTTACAAAAAATTTGAAAGAAATGAAGTGTGTAAAATAAGAGAAAATATTTAAAATGGTTTAAAGTAGATAAAATAATATTAATAGAAATAAATATATATTAAATAGTACAAATCAAAGCTTTACAGCATATTCATAAAATGTTTTTTGACAGTCAAGTAATTATATAACAATGTTAGGATGTATACTATTAAATTTATAAATTAACATTTATGTATTGAGAAGAAAGTGGGCACTATTTAATGTATTTGTATACATAAACAAGGGCGCCCATAGAAAAATTCTCGAGGGGGTCCATGAGATATGAAGGGGTTTGCAAGTTAACATTATACTATTAAATTGTATATATCAAACTGGAAGATTATGAAATAATAATTATTTAAACAATTAACCATAAAAGTTATTTATTGAATTTTCATTTGATTAATAACATAAATTTATTAAAATATTAATTTACAAATAAAAATTGTAAATTTCTTTTTTAACACCAAATATATTTATTACTTGTTTTATGTATTCATTTGTTTTATCATCAATTTTTTCCCTAAGTACGCTATAATGCATAATCAATTAAAAATGTGTAAACAATTTTTCAACATTTTCCAGGGGGGAACATTGTCCCTCCCGTGCTCCCCCCATATGGGTGCCTTTGGTCATAAACATATTGGATTTGTAATTAGACAATCCTATCATACCTTTCAACAGGAAATGAGCATAATGGGGGTAAATGTTGATAAGGTACATATAATAACAAAATAAACATGGTTCACTGATACAATATAAAATCAACCGTTTGACGATAACTGGACAGTTAAATTACTTACAGGAGTGCAGACATTCGATCACCGTCGTGGCGTCCACGAAGTATCCACCGCATAAAACACATAGCAGATGTGGATTTAGGTCGGTGACCTTCGGCTTACAAGATTGCATATTGTCGTCAATGTGATCATCATAACGTCGTTACCGAAACGCGTTCGCGTCTACCTGGATACCAAGGAAATAAGAGTTAGACGTGGTTATTGCGTTCGCACCGCTATTAAACTTACCCAGGATCGTCACCGCCATTGGGCTAAAAAATTTTCTCTATTTATATTTATTAGGTCACCGACGGGACCTAGATAAGCAAAGGTTTTCTCGGTCAACGGTACTAGCGGGTATTCACGAAAAAAAAAATTTGAACCAATCTGGTCGTCAACGAACCAAAACTGCAGCGGATTTGAACGGTAGGTTGAAACGAAAACGGAATAAAGTAACCGAAAACTTCGTCCACAGACCACAACACAGACTCGGATAAACACTGCGGCCTGCGAAACGAAAACAACAAAAACAAGTTTTCCGTTGACAAGGCGTTAACAGCAACGACCTGGCTCGTTTGTTCCATGAACGATTTTTTTTTCTCTTCCCAAGCGGAACAAATCAATATAATATTGAGATTTCCAGTTGGCGCAATGATGCCTTCGCCTGTTCGCCTTCCCGATATGGCGATATCGATATAGATTGTTAAGATTGTTTTAAGCCGGATTTTCTAATGTTACTTTTTATCAATGGTTTTTATATAAATCCTTTCACTAAACACATTCGACGCGTAGACCTTTGATCTCATTGCACATTCTCACAATATTATCAAGTAGACCTCCAGCGTGCCGCGACATTTTTTCTCTCATGATTCGAACTGAATTACTATTTAGTATTTAGTATTTACTTCCTTACTGGAACGTTTGAGCCATTTGAGGTTAGTTTTTAGGAAGAGTTCACGGGCTCACGGGCCACGGCCACTATGGCCTCTGACTTATGTCTGACAGGTCTGTAGACATAACGGTTGCGTTGTATGTTACATATTCATCGATGACATTAAATTACTTATAGTAATGAAGTCCATTATAATAAGGTACATGGATAAACATTCTAGTATTTTCTCAAGTGCGTATCACGTATTTTTGACAAAAGAAAGTTTTCATGCCAATTTTGAATTTTTGAATTCACTGTCTACTAATGTGCTCAAAGTAGTATTTTTTTATTTTTATTTTTTGCTATCAATTTCCTTCTTTAAATAATACTCAGATTATAGTTTTTATTATGTCTCAAGATACTAGGTACGTATTTTATCAACGACCGTAGTTATAATAATATTATAATCTAACTTTCTATGAGTATTTGATTATAAATTATAAATATTATATCTGTATAGTCCAGTTATGCTCGTAGAAAAAAATTATGAATAAAATCATGAAATTATTACAATATCTCTTAGAAAAACTAGTATATTGACAAATTGGTGTAAATACATGACGTACAAAAATTACAAAAGGGCTCTATAGAAATATACTGGGAAAGAAATTTGAAAAAAAACTTTCGCTTAAAAAGTTCAATAATGATGTTAGTAACATGGTTCATAAAAAGCTTAGTTGTTAAGTGGATTAATCTTTTAAATTATTTTAGAAACCAAAATAAAAATTAAATATTTAACCAATTTTCAGAGTTAATAAATTTTAATTTAATAAATTATTAAATCTATTCGAAAACACTATTAAAAACTGAAAAGCAAATCAAAAGATTAGTTCAAATAAAGGCGCTGATTAGTCGGGCATTCATTATCTTACCAATAATAATACAATATTTCTTATCTTACTAAAAATGACCATGGTCGAGTGTCTACTGTCTAGACATGACGTGACTTTTTTTTTAAATCTGATTTTTGTAATTTTAAAATATATATAGACTATATTTTAAATTTTTAAAAATTGTTATACCACTTAAGAAGTGTCACACAATGATACAAATTTCTATATTATTTTTTACTGTTAATTATTTAGCCAAATGATAATTTTTCTAAAAATATGGAAGTATAAAAATCAAAAATCAAACGAGTACCTAAAATTTGAATTATCTATACTATTTATTTACTAATTATGATAAAACCATGTTTTATAAAAAAAAAAATGTTTAAAAAAACTTAGTATACTGCTTGATATTTTCTTCACTGAACGTAAAAACATTAATTCATATATACCTATGGCTATATGTATGTATGCGTTTTTAAAATAATCAACGAGGTTGGTATGATAACTATATAATTTATATTAGCTATTGGATGCTAAGGACAACCTAACAAAAAACCCGATCGCAAAAATAAATTTTATTAAGATTTTGCGTGTCCATTTTTTATTATAGAGATGTAATTCTATAAATTATTATTCATCAGTTGCTAAGGACAATCAGGATGCTGTTTATTATTTGTATAAATGGTCCAAATAATATATAATAAATACTAGATCTAAAATATACTTTTTTTAAGGACTATTGTTTATAATTCCTTATTCCTTGGTATAAACATTAAACATTTTGATAACTGAAAATCAATCTATACGTTTAAATTTTGAATTAGATACAAATAGAACATTCACTAAATAATTACTGTTAAATACCAAAATAGAGAATTTTTTGTTTGAAAAACAGAACTTTTTCGCCACAAGACATTTTAAAAATTTTAAAATATGATTTTTAAGAAGTCTTGTAAGTATAAAATAAACAAAAATATTAATATCAATACCTACATAAATAATAATATATATTGATTAATCATTAATATAAATCATTAGTAATTTCTAAAATTTTCCAAATCAAGATTTAATAAGATAGTCATTAGTCGTAACATTTTTTCTAATAATTATAAGATAATAGAATAGATAACCATCTTTTTAGGGAAGTTTTTAGTAGTGGTATTTATGACATATCTAATCAAGCCATTAGCCCAAAGTTTTTTATAACAAATTACGTTTCGCCAGGACTTGTATGTTTTATTAGGAGTGATATTAACAAGTAAGAGTTTAACTACTATTGTGTGATTATGTATAATTGATTATTTAGACTTATTTTATGAGGTAGGAACCTAATAAATCTTTTGGAAAAGTCAAAGGTGTTCCTTGTTCACCAAAAAGATTATTTTTTCAATATCAGAAAAACAACCCGTCTTCTTTTTGAAGTAAGATAAGTTTTAATAGTCTTTTTGAACTTTACTATGTTGGTTACTTTTTAAATATACATTTAAGGATAAAGATTATATGATTTATAAATATAAATATCAATAATAGGTGACATTAAAATCGAAATTTATTCATGACTAATTTTAAGCATTAGTGATGATAAGTGATCACTATATAGTATATATAAACTATAGAGTATAGACCACTTGTATTGTGTCTATTGAGTACCTATATTATAACCATTAGACATTAAAGCCTTAATATTGATGCACTGCCGCACTGGTAAAATCATATGAGAATAAGAGAATATATTTAGCTTGTTCCTCGTTTGAGTTGTTACTTGTTAGTTGTTACTGACTGAAGCACTAAAACTGAAATTCGCCTGACGTCGTCTTGTATTCTGGTGTCCTGTCTCTCGTAAGTCATAATATATCATAGTGTCATATTATTGTATTCTGTCATATAACAATCTACTCCGTTATTCGGTGACAGAGCGCAGCACTATCCCTGGTAATTAAGTTATTTAGTGATTACTGATTACCACATACTGAGAACAGTGAGAACACAAACAAACCTAATATTATACAATATCATTACAATAATAATTGTTCTATACTTAGAACATGGCATTATTTAGAAGCCATGAAGTCTAAGCTTAGAGTAATGAAACGACGGACGATAAGACACATGATAACGTTAGTACTCACTGACTCGCTGCTCGGTATTCTTGTTACTGCTCACTGGTCGTCAATCGTGTCAGTCACTCCGTCAATTCACCATTCCGCGTACACTCGTCTATGTCCACGTCTCTCTGTAGTCGCAGGCCTTTGTGCCACAGTCCACACTCCGGCCATTGACGGTCGACACTCGACAACACTCAGTAGTTAGTGAACGACTGCAGCATTTATTGAAAAAAGTAAATGATTAAACAATGTAAAACACCAATATTTATTTCTTACATTTTCATTTAAAATTGTTATGGTTGATTTCATTTAAAATGTTGCTACCGAGTGCTAGTAACTGATCTTTCAAATAACCTTAACCGTTCTCTAGATCAAGTTTTAAAGCATAATTAAACGATAATATATAGGTAAAAATGAGTAGATGTGCGTTATTATATTCAAAGTTACGACCGAATCAAGTACTCAGTAGTCGGTGCTTAAATTTCGATTTTATAACGCAACAGTTTGCTAGTAATACGTAATGACAAGCAACAGGTGCAATTTAACCTTAAATCGTGATATTGGGGGTTTGAACATTTTGTTATTAATAATAATTGTTCGTGCCAATGTTTTTCTATATTCAATTCAGAAACTAATATATTTGTTCTTGTAGAGCTAATTTGTCCTTAATTTAACTAAACCATATCCTATATTTAACTGAGTGTGTTATAAATTGTTGATATTACTCATATGCCATCATTAATTTTCTTACGTTTCATTTTTATTGAGAAAAAAAAACAATAACATTCTTAGTTATATATGAGTAATAAAAAATAAATGTGGCCTAGATTTTAATGGTATACACCAAAGAGATAAGCCTTAAAGCCAAAAATGTAATTTTTTTTTTTTAAGTTCTATCTTGTTTTAAATCTGAATATTAACTATCTTTTGTTTATTATACTCGACTCATTTATTTATTATTCGAATGTATTATTAATTATATTTTTAGAACCAATATGTTGTGTTCATCAGCACGTTTGCGTCAAAACTTTTATTTAATAATTGGTGTCACAATTGGGTTACTTCTTAGTCTTATTGTTGGCCCATTATTAGAAACTGGTTGCCTATTTTCAATATCAACTATTGACAGCAATTCAAATTCAATTATTGTCAATGATGAATACGAACCTCATATAAATTTGGCTGGCAAACCACAGCGAGCTCAAAAAATTCCTCAAACTCTGTTACGTCCGAGATATTACTCAACAGAACTTGGAATTCGAGAGAAATTATTTGTTGGTATTTTGGCCAACCAAGCAACTGTAGATGGTCTGGCAGTTGCTGTCAACAAAACCGTTACACATTGGGTGGACAAGACAATTTTTTTCGTTGATGCAGCAGGTGGACATAAGCTAAATGTAACGTTAATGAAAATACCCGGTATAGTTGGTTTTACTGACAGCAGAAATGTATTAAAACCATTTCACATGGTAAAATATATTGCTGACAACTACTTGGATGAGTATGAGTTTTTTATGTTGATAAAGGATAGTACATACTTGAATGCAGACAAGCTCATGAACTTGGTTAAAAGAGTTAGTGTCATTGAAGATGTTTATGCTAGTGGAACTGTAATTGGTACCAACTATTGTTCATTAGGTAAGAAGAATATATTGACATCATATTTATTCAATAAATTCTAATTTTTTATTGAATAAAAAATGTTTAGATGCTGGGATACTTTTGAGCAATTCTGTTATTCGTAAAATGATCCCAAACATTGATTGGTGTGTACGTAATGCTTTCTCTACTTCAGATGATGATAATTTTGGTCGATGTGTATTACATTCAATCAATCTTCCATGTCAGACATCTATTCAAGTAAGTAGTATTAAAATTCCACAATTCAAAATACACAGTTTAATTTGTTTATTTAGGGGCAAACTATAAGCAGTTATCATTTATGGGAAGCCAAAGATCTTATTAATCTACTCAACCAACCACAACATCAAGAAAGTTTTAATCGAGCTTTGACTGTTTATCCAATGCCAAATGCTGAAACAATGTACAAAACTCATTTAGCATTTTGTAAAATGAATTTAGAAAAATCCAATATGGAAATTGAAGCATTAAGACGTTCTATTCTGACTGAGTCAAGTTTAGAGCCACCTAATTTTAGAAAAGTAACTTGGCCTGTTGGAAGTCAATCTGGAAGTACCCCATCCACTCGTTTTGATGTATTGAAATGGGAGCATTTTACTGAAACACATTTATATTTGGACTCTAGAATAAGCAATATAAGACCATTAAATGAAGCTGAAAATGCTGATATACGTGTAAGGAATCAATAATAACTGTGGAATTATATATATTAACAATTAACAAAAAATGAAACTACTATCATTTTATAACAAAAAATACTTTTTACAGAATGTCTTAAATACAAGCATTGAATATTTAGAATCAAAATATTCAAATAATTTGAAATTTGATCATTTGGTTAATGGTTACAAAAGATTTGATCCATCAAGAGGATTGGACTATATTTTAGACTTAACTTTTAAAGATATTGTTGGAAATAGATTAATACAAAAAAGGTATAATATTTTTATTAGCAAAAATGTAATCATCATTATAAATTAAAAATAAATAATTTTTTTCAGTATATAAGCTCAATAAACATATATTTTATGAATATTTATATTTATATAATTAACAGCCACATTTGATTGAATTTTAGAGTTGAAGTCAGCAAGTTGCTTGGTAAAGTAGAGATGTTGTCAGTTCCTTATGTAACTGAAAATACTCGTATACATATTCTTTTACCTGTTCGTACAAATGAAAGAGAAGACGCCTTTCGCTTTCTACGACAATATAAACAAATTTGTATTGATAAAAAGGAAAAAACAATGCTTATGTTGGTAAGTATTATATTTAAAGAACAAGTTAAGTTAGTAAAACTATTTAAATATTTATTAATTAAATTTTTGAATGTTTAGGTTTTGTTGTATGACGCTAATGCGCCAGGTAAAGGTGCAGTCGATGATGTGTTTAAACAGTTAAAAGATGAGGCAACATCATTGAGTAATGCACATAAAAAAGATGGCACTAAAGTCGCATGGTTATCAGTGAGAATACCGAACACTAAATTGTTAGCACTAAGAGATGCATTATTGGATTTTGCGATCATAGATTTAGCAATTAGAAAGTTTCCTCCAGAAGCTTTAATGATGTTAGCTAGACCAAAAATGGAAGTTCGTCAAGACTATTTGAATAGAGTGAGTATTGTATTGCATAATAATTTTTATATTAAAATGATTGTATAATCTATTATAATATTTTGAGAAAATATTAATCTTTAGGTAAGAATGAATACTATAATGGAATGGCAGATATTTAGTGCTTTACCATTTTCTGAGTATGATCCTAATCTCATGTTGTATCCAAGACAATCAACCTTAGACGTAAATAAGTATTATGGCCATTTTGATCCATTTGATTATGATCATTTATCATTTTATGCAAAAGACTATGTCGTTTGTAAGTATAATAATGTACTTAAGTTACTATAAAATTCTTTGAAATCAAAACAGTAATTAACTTATTTATAACAATTTTTAGCCAGGAAACGTGCAGAATTATTAATTCCTATAATTCGAGCTGACCGTGATATACACCGTTTGGTGTCAGAATCCACTAGTCATTCTTTGAAAGCAGTCAACATGACTAACCCTTCAGTTTATTCTATGTTTGTGGCATATAGTGATTGTCATATATTTAGAGCTGTAGAATCTGGTTTACGATTGCATCACAAACAGAGACATTGCGAATTGTATGAAGGAAACATTGTGGATCATACAAGTGCTGCTTTGTATGGAAATTGTGTAAGATCTAGAAATCGAAATGCTGGTTCTAAAGGACAATTGGCTAGACTAGTGTTGGAGTATCAAAACCAATTAAAGTGACTGAGTAAATAAATAAATTATATGAGATGAGATTTATTTTCCTAGCTCGAACAAATTTCTAAAACTAAATTTAAACTATTAATTTTATATGCCAATAAGTTATATTTATATTAACTTATTTTAATCATTAATTATTATTTATTTAGAATAATTAATTACTAAATAATAATCATGCAAAGCCACTGAGGTAATTTTTTATGAATCATTAATATAAATATTTTATATTTTGTATTGTATACTATTTTAAATGTGAATTATAAAAAATAATTTTTATTTGTGTTAAAGAGTTGTTACTGTTTAAATTTTAATTATTATACCTAACATTACGCTACCTATGTATTGATACTTTTTGTAATGTATCGGTATTAAAGGTGGTTTCTGACAAAAAATTAAGGAAAACCCGAAATTTTCATGCAAACGCAGTTTTGACCTAATCTATTATTTTTTTTAGTATAATAAAAAAAATAATCGTAGATACCTTACATCTCTACTAAATGTTAAAATCTGCATTTTATATGTATGATAACATTTTCAAAATATTTTGTATCTTGAACTATTTTTAGGTGTGAAAAATTTTCTATTGTTTTAGTTATTTTTTAATTTAATTATTATTGATCAAATAACTTGAAAATGTAGTTCATAATTTGTTCTTGTATGTAGCTGTTTAAAATGACATGGGCATAATTTTTTTTTTTTTTTATTTAATTAAAATTCTACCAAAAACTAAAACTCATAAACTATTTTGTAGTAATATGTATTTTTTAAAGACATTTCAAATTCAAATTTACTTGAAATTTGTAATCAAAGAATAACAGTTTTAGTTGTTTTTCTGTAATTAATTATTTTAACCTCAGATATATTAATTAATGATTAACTAGAACATGCATTTTTACCTAATGAATATCAAAATCTTGTAAAAACCACAAGTATATAATATATACATTTTATAATGTATTAATATGTTAGTTATAAAAACTTTTAAGGCTGATATTTATATTTAAATATATTTGATGTTTATTTATTAATAAATGTTGCTCAATTTTTTTTTTAAATGGACTTATTATTTAACTTTTATATCAATGATCAGAAAAAATTAATATCATGACATATATACTATTAAAATACAAGATTTTTAAGTAACTATTAATTTTAAATTATAAAATCAATTTCAAACAATGTAGGTAATTTATAAATAAAATAAAATCATTTAATACATAAATTGCATGTTTTTATAAACTTAAATTATTTTATTTTATGGCGCAACAATCAGAAATATCCAAGTTTTATTTTTAGATTTAAGAGAGTACCTATAAAAATTGAATATTTATTGGGTAGTTATTAATTTCAATTATAAACATAAAAATGTAATTAGAATGTATTTTTTGCTTATTTTTAAAACTTTTTGTTAATTTTTAAAATAATTTTTTTCCCCCTTAAAAATTGTACTGATCGGAGATATCTGGTTGTTACTCCCAAGTATTCATTTTAAGTCCAAATCCAGACGAATAATTACATATTTGATATCTATACGATCTTATGAATTAATTATATTAGTTAAAATTATTTTATTATTATAATAATTGTTATGATAACAAACGAGGGAGTATAAAAAGAATGTCGGAGGAAAAAACTTTATGGAATATTATCAAAAAAGAAGAAATTAATTGGAAAATGAAATGGTTTGGACATTTAGTAATACATGATGAGTTGCTAAAATTAATTATGCAACTTTAGAATAAAAACTAGAAGATATAAATCACAGGGGAAGTTAGAAAGATCATGAATGGAACTAAAATAATGAAGGACTAATGATTGTATTTTTATGAAGACGACACTAAGAGAGAGACAAGTAACAAGGAAGAGTGAATAATTGCTGCAAACCCGTTTCAGAATTGAATACTAAAAGAAGAAAATTATGATTTTAGTATTTTGTATTGTAATTCAAAAATATTATTAATGGAGACTTAAAATGTTAACGTTTATAATATTATATTTTATACAAACAATGTCACAGTGACATTTTTAAAACATTTAGATCAATATTATGTTTTAGCCTATTTATACCACGAAACTATTCTACATCGTTCAGAAATGAAGTATGAAACCGAACAGGTATATTTTCGTTAGAAAATTATAACGGCGAAAAAGATTCAATTAATTTACATGTGTTAATTTATTCGTAATTTTAAATATGTTTTATTTTTAATTTTAAGTTATGCAAAAATAAATATTTAAAAAAAAATGTATAGCTTAAGGGCATTACTATACATGTCTTAAAAAACGTTAGGTACCTACCTATTACTTCTGTATAATAACACATAAACTGAGTACCTATACTGTAATAATTTAATTTATTTCAGAGTCAAAAATTCCAAATGAAATTACTTAGAGAATAAACAATTTTAAACCGGTATTCTCCTAAATAACCTTGAATAATAAATATATGCATGGATTATTTGTTTTAAAAATAAACTTAGAATAAAAATAAATATATACACAGACGAGGAACGCGAATTGGTCAGTCAGCAAGTTAGATTAGGTAGGTATTTCGCGTGAAATAGACAACGGTTAAGTATTTCTTATTAATTTTGAATTTTCTAAGCGAAATAATGTATTTCTAATAATTTTATAATCAATAGGGTTTAAAAAATGAAAATATTTAAATGTTTGTCCGGGATTTTTTTTTTTTTTTTATATAAGTTTCTGGCGGAAAATCGAATATCAATTGCACTTTTTTTTCCGTTTGAATTTCAACATGGGGCCGAACTGTTTGCACATTACTTGGTCCCATAAAATCAATTGCACTTTAGAGAGATCTGAATTTACCGATTTTCTAATATTTTAATCTAAGGCCACAAAAAATAACCAAATTTACAAATCACTCGTTTTTTAAAAAGTCAATTTTGTTTTTAATCTATATGATGATGACTCAAAAATATTAACGCTAAGTATTTGAAATATAAGTTTTTATGAAATTAATATACATATACAAACGGGATAGTATTTTTGAAGTTTATTGTTGTTTTTAATAAATAATTTTAATGGTTTAAATGTCTTTTATTATTCCTTCCTTACTTCCTTAGTAAAAAAATGTATTCATATTTATTTTTAATTTTAAATATTGACTGATTTTATTAATGTTTTTTTAGGTCGACAATCTGAGACCAATTTGTAAACTTAGTGGTAATCAGTCGTACCTATATAACATATTGCAACATATTGGTATCATATAAGTGTCCATGAAATTTTAAGTGAGTATTAGATCTATTTATTAATTTATTAATAAAATAAAAAAATTTTTAATAGTTCAATTTCTGAGATTTAAAATCATAATTTATACCTGATAGGTACCACTGAAGGTTATAGTACCCTTTTGTTAGTATCTATTATTAGTATTAAAATTATTGTTTTGTAAACCATCATCATAATAGTTACCATTAAAACACTTATGTACCTAATAAATTATAATTATGCGGAATGAAGTTTTAAAAATATTTAAATTTATTTAAAGATATTACCTATCTATTTATTTATACCATGCATTTCTTTACACTATTCTTGTTAAGATTTAATTAACTCAAAACTTAATTTTTGAGGCCTCTCTGCAAAAACAGCAAGAACAAACCTTTTTTATGTTCCCATTTTATGACAACACTATTTATCTTGTATCCATTTTTTTTTCACAGAGTTGTTCCAAATACCTTTCTGAATGTCACCACCTCACTCGATTTTTAATTTTTTTTGTCTGGAGGGATTGAGTAGGGGGTATATTGTATTTAAATGTTCTGACGATACTATTTAACATTATTCCAATTTTTTTTTTAAGGTTTTATTAAATACTTAATATCGCTAGAAACATTTCAATACGTTTTCATTAACCGTTTTTTATACTTACTTCCCGATCACATTATTAAATGATAACATTTGAATAAATAATTCTACATATATATCAATATATCATCATCTGAAGGCAAAATAAACAATTTATCAGTTATCACTGACGAAGTCGTGACCGTTCGGCTATCATACCTATATATTATTATATAATATATATTGTTTGACATTTACATTATTAATTTATATGATTTCAAGGATAAAAATGAAGGTCCGTTAAAGTTCAAAAACTCAGAACTGCTATCTTTAAGTTTTAAAACCAAACCTTGACAGTATTGTTTACTTTTTTGTACAATTCTGTAAGCCCCTTGCCCCTCCCCCTCAACACGACCAAACCTGTTTTTCACATGTGTTTACTGAAGAAATAGCACAAATATTGCCAAACATTGAAAAAATTCAATTTTTAATGTTGTAGTATTATTCATTTTTTTTTTTTTTTTTGTATAATTTTGTACAAATAAAATAAAAATGTATACACCTCTCCCCACCAAAAATGACCTACCTAATATTTTCTGTTTTTTCAACGCTCCTGTTGATAAATTTTGAATGGATATAATTTTGGGCGTATATCGATTGCGCCGCATATCAACTCCGCCAAATTGTTTTACACATTGATTCCGCTGAACATTAATAAACAATAATTAAATAAGAATAAACTAAAATTATGAAATTAAAAAAAGTATACAACAACAATTTTTAACGATTATTTAAATCAAAATATTAATAGATTAACTTACAATTTGTACTTAATTGTTTATTTGCCATAATCTGTATACTTGTGTTATATTTTTCGTTTTGGACGACAATAAATTATTTTTTGAAATGTTTTACTGTAACCTGTACTGTTAATTAAAAAATATATTTTATATAACCAACATAAAAAAATATTCGGCGAAATCAATATAGATGAATACCGGACGGAATCAATGACCAGCAGAATCAAAATACACAAATATCTGGCGGAATCGATAAAACCCATATTGATTTGTATACTTACGTTTTTACGTTCAAAGTTATCAAAAATCAATTCACTAGTATTAAATATACGAAATCATATTTAATTAACAGATTTTGTCTAAATCCTGCAATTAGGACGGATTACAATATAATCCTTTGACCTTTGTAAATGCAATACGAATCAATATTTAAGTTAGATTATTCAACTAAAAAAAAAATAGTATATTATTATGTTGTACAACAACATACCGTGATTTAAGCGCAATAATTATTATCGTAATTTTGTTCGTACCTAAGTTGTAATACAATCTAATTTTATAACGTTTGAAATGCACCCGCTATTGCATTATTATTGCAGTAACCTGCACGTGCGGTAGTCGGTGTCTGGTCGCAGATAGCTTACTATGGACGATTCGGCAGATATTACAGTTAGCGATTGCACCACACTCGACGCTCGGCCGATTGAAAAACAGCTCTGTCAACCGATTGTTTGGCGCAATGTTATACTGTACTCGTTGATCCATTTGGGAGCGCTGTACGGCGTTTACTTGGCGTTTGTTTCAGCGAAAATCGCTACGACTGTTTTCGGTACGTTTATTCATCAATTACCGTAATAATTAATAACATTTAAGTAGTGACTAAATAAATAACGTTTTTATCGTTCTTGAATTCAGCAATCTGTTTGTATCAAATCACTTCGATTAGCGTCACCGCTGGATCGCATAGACTTTGGTCGAATCGGGAGCCCAGAGCGAAATGGCAATTACGGTTAATCATAATTACGCTCAACACAATAGCGTTTCAGGTACAGTTTTTATGATTTCATTTAATGCGCATAAACATTATCAGAATTTAGAAGTATTAATGATTATATTAATTATAGCTAAACGGGTTATCGCGGTATAATATTCGTATACAGGTATATGTTCTCTTTACGAATTACTACGTACAAAGACGATTAATAATGTATTCAATAGGATTTGTTCCAATGTTTTGATAAACATTTAGGTATAATATAATATGTCAAAATAGCACCGTGTATAACACGTATGTGCACAACAAAAAGTGTCAATATGTGGAAGTCGAGTGGCCAATCATTGGTGGGTTCGTTGCAATTATATTTAGTGCGATATACTTAATATTATTTTCTAGGCGATTAATATTGATCATAAGTTGATATTACGGTTTCGCTAGTTTGAACCTCTGAATTTTATCGACGTTATATTTTCCACGTGCTCGAACAAATTAAAAATATGTCTTCACCATCTATAATTACACTCACGACTGCTAATCGATCGATATAGATACTAAGATCTAACACTGTCTGACTATATTATGATAAACGAGACAATCGTATAATTTTCGAAACTCAACTGCTTCTGACCAGGGAACATATTATCAACAATAAACATACGTATTAATATATTATATACGATACCGCGAGTACCTACTGCAAAAGCGACAAATTTCCATCATATCCACTCGCAGATAGCCGATACTACGTGGCTATCGGTCGGGGCTTAACCAAGGCCGGATCCAGGGAGGGTAGCACTGGAGACAAGTGCCACCCCATTGGAAAAATATAATATTAAACATTTTCGTATTAGTGGGGGGGGGCTATATCTATATTACCTACCTATATATAATTTTTCCTTTAAAGTGCCCCGATCGTAAATATATGCTGGATCCGCCCTTGGGCTTAATTGATTGTGACATCTTACAGAATTCAGTTTACGAGTGGGCCCACGATCACAGACTACACCACAAGTACACAGACACGAATGCCGACCCGCAAAATTCGAATAGAGGACTGTTCTTTTCGCACGTCGGTTGGCTACTACTGCGCCGGAAAAATCCAGATGTTATCGAGAAGAGTCACACCATCGACACCAGCGATTTGTTGGCCGATCCGTTCGTGGCGTACCAAAAAAAGTAACCGCTTATATACACATAATTCTTTAATTATTATTCGTAGATTTTATTAAATTAAACGTCAAAATTATACCTCCTTATGTATCATAATAAACTGTAACGAAGTTGATAAGAATTTTGGTCATTCACGTGTTTTTTTTTTTCATATTATTTTATAACGATTAGAACCTATAATAATATAGAAGCAGCAATATCATAAATCCTAGACGTCAAATAATATTATCGACATTTTGAACATAATATACTATTGTAGCAGTTCTCAACCTTTTTTTCGTTCCGTACCCTTAAGTTTAATATTTTACTAGATTGTACCCCAGACCCCTCATTATAATTTTTAAAATTTTTCATATAACTACTTTTAAAATATTTAAATAAAAAATAACTAAAAATTCTATGTTATACATTCTATACTCCATATCTATTAGATAATTTGACGGTTAAGTTTTAATTTGTGACACAAATTTTCATCTTTAATAACACATAGGTAATATTTTCGAAACGAATCGTTTTAAATAAACAAATTCAACATTTTCCGCCATTAGCCAATTTTTTTCACGTACCCCAAGTTGAGAAGAAACGTTGTATTATAGGAATCAAATCCACTACAGTTTCGCGGATCACAATGTTTGTATATAGTATTTTATAAATTCTCAATTGCTCGGATAAACCATAAAATCACAATAAACCTTTCTGGGCCGGAATAATGAAAGCTACCTACATAATACATAATAATGACTTAATGACTTATTCAAAATATATAATATATTACATGTGACACATTTGCGGCGGTCGATTTCGTCAAATCGTAAATAATGTGCAGATATTCATGTTTTGAACGCGCAGATACTTTTGGTTCCTGATCACGTGGGCGTGCTTCATTATACCCACGCTTATACCAGTTTACTGTTGGGGAGAAACATGGAGCAATTCTTGGTACGTGGCAGTTTTGTTGAGGTACGCGCTCACACTCAACGGAGTTCGGTTGATCGACAGCGCCGCGCATGCGTGGGAAGGAAAACCGTACGACAGGTAACACCATGACAGCGAATTCGTGTACAATATATACAATAAACAATAGGTGTGTAAAAGAAATGATAAATAAACAGTATTATGAGTTGGTGACGTGGACTGGAGAACTGACAGTAACACAATAAGAAATTACATAAATGCTAAACACAGAAAATTCTAATCGTCGCGGCATATGGGCGACAGACTTGTTGAAATTCGATTTTCTGAAAGGCTCTATACACGATATTAGTCTTGTACGGTTTAAAACGTTTTGTAAATAACTCTCTCACGATTTTATGTGCACGCGTCTAGAAATTATTTGACTGAAAGCTGGTCGGGAAAGCACGAAATTCACGTAGGTACACGATAGGACTGGCTGCTAAAATGTCTCGCTTTCCAGGATCACCCGAAAGAGTCGGATTTCGGTAGTTTGATGTATTTTTATGCCATACCTACTCGTACTGCAGTTTCTCGATTTTTATAAGTATTACACGTAAAATGCAGTATCTACATAGCTGTTCGGTGTCACGGTTTTAATTTAAAATCAGTCAAAAAGCTTAACTCTTCCGATACGCGTGTAATACAAATACGAAAACGACTGTTTGTCGTGATTCAATTTTTTTTTTTTTTTTTTTTTTTATATTAAATATTTCAAATAATTTTTACTAAGAAGATCTGTACTCACATGTGTTGTCTCCGTCTTACAAACGAACGTTTACGACATAGTCAATTTCCATTTAACAGAACCGATTTTGTATTGCTAGCTTTAATATTTAACTGAATTGATCTATAATATCGTCGAATACAAAAGGTGAAAACAATATTATTCGTTTCTATATACTACAATATGAGAATTATGCCAATATTTTTGTTTTCGAGTGGATAAAATTCATTTTTTTTCAAATTTTTATACAATTACAACAATAATTAAGATCTCGTTTTTGCGTGTTCGTGAAACATCAAACTCAATTGAATATAGTTTTATAGTTCAAATAAGTAATACATATTTTCTCGGGACAAATCCGCACAAGTCTAATCCCGAAATTGTATATTTAAAGTTGAAACACCTCTTTGACAAATAGAAATAATATTCGTGTTATAAATCATAACGCAATAGGTATAACATAGTACGCGTGTAGGTCATTTGACCGATTTCCGCTATCATTCCGCCAATCGACTTTACTACGTGTTTTACGTTTGTGTTGTGTATCTACCTGTTACGCAGGACTATCAAACCGACGGGGAACCTTGCGGTGAGCGAGGGCTGGCACAACTACTATCACGTGTTTCCACGGGATTACAAGGCGGCGGAACTGGGCAATTACAAGTTCAATTTCACCACCGCGTTCATCGACCTGTTCGCTAAAGTCGGACGGATGTACGACCTGAACACCGCGCCAACGCCGGAGCTCGTGCTTCGACGACCCTGGCGTCCCGGCCAGATCAAGTACCGGACCGATCCGGCGCCACAATCCTGGTGCTGGGACGACGACAAAGACTTTCCTAGGTTGGAATGCAAGGAGGCCACGATCGTAAACTGCAGGATGTGGGGTTGATCAGTATATTATTTCTATGATGATCGTACGTGGCTGTACAAAAGTAGATATAGCATGCACATGAAACAAATATTTCAAAGAATATCCTTTAAAATCTAAGATTTAAATTATATGTACAAATAAAGATATATATTATATATATACATAGTAAAAGAAAAAAAAATGTTAAATAGTTAAAAAAAAATTGTATTTATACAGCTATAAAATGTCTTCTAAAAATGCAAAAAAAAAAAGGAAAATAAAAACCAATTGATGTGTCGTACTTAACGGATTTTTGATTTTATCTGCAATGAGCGCGTGGTGGAGAAAAACACGTAAAAGCCATATAAACTTAAAATTAAATATAATAGCTACAGCTGTACGCCTGTACCTATATAATATTGGTAAGGCATAGGGGGGGGAGTGATGTATTTAAAATGCCTATCCAAAGTGCCGTGTTATCGTTCACTCATAAAAAGTGCTAAATTTTTAACTATGTGATTTTTGATTTATTAGTTTACTATGTACACACGTTGCAAGAATCAGCGTGTATTTCACTAATTTTAATAATCGGGAAAAATTAACAAAAAGCAATGAGAGAGAGGAAAGGGGTAAAGTATTAAGTAGCCAGTAGATAATCGCTCTGCTTTTTATTAGTTCCTAGGTCAGCAAGTGTTAAATACTCAAGTAGTCAAGTATACTGTAATAAATCGACAGAAAATATTAAAGTATAATATAATTTGAATTCGATGATAAATCGTTGTTGCACACGAAAATATAATATATAATATTGTTGTTGGGCCGTGAGTCGATTGGTACCGATTTACATAGTTTATCGTAGTATAAAAAAATAAAAGCATAACATTAATTTAAATGTTTTAAAAATTTCACTGTTTAATGTTAATATACTTTAATCTTATAAATTCAAATTTCGATTTTAACTGCGTAGGCAAGCGATCCTCAACCTTTTAACGTCCGAGTATACCACCTACACGTCTTGAAAATGTTCACGTACCACTTAATTTAGAAAACTCTATTTTTTCATTTTGCTTGTAAAAAATGAATAGAATATTAACATTTATTGAACCAAGAGTAAAATTAAGTATTTACAGTTTGTTAAAACATAAATCGACCAAGCATTACAACATTACAGAGATTATCGTTTATCTAAATTTCCATCTTTAATGCGAATAAAACCGACTATTTGGTTTAGTCATTCAAATAAACGAAATAATATTTTATTATGAATATACAGTATAGTCACTCGTTAATTCGGAAAACTTCATAAATTGAACTAAACATCGAGTCCCCTGAGAAAACCTCAATAATGAGAAGAAAACACACGTATTCCGGCCCCCTCGATAATTCGAAATGTCTGTTGGTGGGACACACTCTACAATTCGAATTTCCTTAAACGCGATTACATTATGTAAGTTTACATGCATGTACAATCTATTTGACGTACTCCAGTACTCGTAATGAAACTAATAACGACGGTGGTTAAATATAATCGTAGTTTATAAACGTTAGCGTGCCTTACACATACCTAATCTAAACTTTTGTCAGATTTGCGTCGATTTTTTGAGCAATCCGAAATGAACGAAAAAAGATGCGATACAATTTCCAATGCTATCAGTAAGTTAGACAACGCTATGAACCAAATTGTGGCCATCGGTTTATCACAAAAAAAAAAAAAATAACAGATTTCTTTAATATATAATACAATATGATAAATAAATGTCAAAATGAATGTAATATGTATATATGTAGGCTGTCCGATAAATAAGGTACAAAAATATACCGAATAATGAAAAATGAATTTATTACTTTAAAACTTCTACACAATAAATTAGACATATTTTGCTATTTTTCTATATAGTCACCATTTAAATTGATGCATTTTTCCCAACGATGGAACTGAGTTCATTACCTCCTCTTCATTTTGAAAATGAGTTCCTCCTAAGTGTTTTTTTTAACGGACCGAACAAAAAAAAAACTGAAGGTGCCAGATCAGGACTATATGGTGGATGTTGCAATAATTCCCACTTGTACTTTTCCAGCCAAGCTTTAGTCTTTCCCGCTGAATGTGGGGTCTGGTGTAAGCATTTTCGGAACCCAACGTGAACAAACCTTACGAAAATTTAATTTCTCATGGACAATTTCATGTACAGTGGTCTTTGGTAGATCAAGTTGTGTAGCCATTTCCCTAATTTTAAGTCGTCTATCCGATCGTAACAATTTTTCGACCGCCTCAATGGTTTCGGCGGTGGACGTGCTTATTGGTCGACCATTTCTTGCTTCATCTTCAACACTTTCTCGACCTGAATTAAATTTTGTACACCAAACCGATACACTTTTTCGAGACATTACGTGCGGGCCATAAACTTCGGTTAATTTTCTATGAATTTCAGTCGGAGAAACATTTTGAAAATTAAAAAACCGAATGACGGCGCGAACTTCTTCTTTTGTGGAACTTAAATATTGGTTTTCCATGTTTAAACTTACGTATTCGACGGAACACTAAAGTAAAATAGTCATGATGCATAGAATACGTTGTTTGTTATATATATTATCAATGCTGGAAATTTCAAGCCGATATCGTCTATTGTTTACGCCAAAAATAACTTTGTACCTTATTTATCGGACAGCCTACGTACATATATACAATAATTTGTCACCTCTCTTTAATTCGAATAAATTTTTTTCCCTCGGTTATTCGAACACTCGGTAAATCGAATTTTGAACTAGGTCCCATGAATTTCGAATTATCGAGTGACTACTGTAATGATATTTTATTTTATGATAAATATTAATTTTTTTCTTCGCGTACCACCTTTGAGCTTTCTGCGTATCATTAGTGGTACGCGTACCGTAGGTTAAGAAACGCTGGTGTAGGCTCTAGAACAAGAATGAAACAACAGATTTTCACTTTCATATCAAAAATTATAATTGATATTTAATTTATTGAACGTTAGGTATATTACATTTTTGTATAAAAATTGTAAAACATAGCTATAAAGAAAACACTATTTGTAGTAGTTCAATTTAAATGACAAAAAAATAATATATATATGTATTTATGTACATACATTTGTTATTTTACATAAATATTTAAATTTACTGACAAGTGATGTACAAAAGTTATTGAAAAAACAATTGTACATCTATAGTCTATCCACTCATTAAAATAATGTTTTTTTACAAAAATTTACTTTGTTTACTTAAATTTTATACAATTATTATCATTCAATCCAGTTATCATTAAATGTACACTGCATGTTTTTGTGAGTACTTTGTGACAATAACAACGCTTAATGTAACATAATTTTTTTTATATAGTTTATTGGTTTTGTTATAAATAAAATAGATATAGTAAATAATAATATTCACAAAGTAGTAGATAATTTCTGAATGTTGTTCTTTACGGTGTTTTTCTGTCCTTATGCTAAAATGTTATTACTAAAAATATACATATGTATTCACAATACAACGAATTTTAGCCACATCTCTACAGACATAAAGGCGTTTTACCAAAATAACATTTACCAATAACAAATAATATAAGCTGGACATTGTTCACCTGAAACAATAGACTGGCATGAGATGATTAAGATAAATCTCAAACACAGGTAGACAAAAACATTTATAATAATTATAAAGCTTAAAATTATTTCAGTCATAGTTTTATGAATTCAAAAATATATATTATCAGATTAAGTAATAAAAATAATTAAAATGCTAACTTAAAATATTTAACTGGATTTAAGGTTAAATTAACCTAACCAAAACACTTATAGTAATGCATTTAAAATTATGCACAGACTATAATTTAAATTTCATTATGTATCTCATAGAAAGTTGTCAGTTTTACTACCTACACAGACAAATAAATAATAAAAACCCAATTTTGTGTTATTAATTTTTGATATAAATAAATGTTAAGAAAAATATTATGAAATGTACTATTTGGTTTAAAAATTTACTAAAACCAAAATAAATTAAATTATTTAGTTAGTTAAACATATAAATCTATTTTGATCAAATGAAAATTGATTAAATTCAATGAGCAGATTAATAATAAATTATACGTTATACAATGCTACATGTGAGCATACATATAACCATAATAAATTAAATTATTTAGTAAGTTAAACATATAAATCTATTTTGATCAAATGAAAATTGATTAAATTCAATGAGCAAATTTATAATAAATTATACGCTATATAATGCTACATGTGAGCAGATATATAGTTTAATTTATTAAATTATTATTCTTTCTTTAAATAAATGATTAAATATTTCCAAACATCCTGTAAACATATTACCATTGGCGGCTACCTATAATCAATGATATTACATACATTTTTGTATCAAATTGATAAACTCTATACCTACGCATTGCCTTCCATTCGCTCTTCTGCTCTCGTACGCATCCTATGTATGAACGCCTTGCCTTTGTTCTTTCTGAAGTTTTCGTATGGATCATTCAAACTGATTCCCACACCCTTATATTGATCAGTCCTATCTCGGACCTAATTTTTAATGACGACCAACACAAAGCCACAGATCAATATAATTTCATAAATATTAAGTACCGATTTGTCAATAACAATAAAAAAACATAATATAATATTTACTACAAAACATTTTTCAATCATCTTTTTACTTACGTCACCGCCGCTGATTGGTGTATCGATACCTTGCTCTTTTGAACCCAATCCGGCACCACCCCAACCCATTTTTTTCAGAAGCTGATGACCTTTATTTGATTCATCCAAGCGTTCTTGGGCAGTTTTACCAAAACCAGATCTAAAATAATTTAAATATTTTATAAATATGATTTAAAAACAAAATTTATACAATATTACTTACCCCCCAAACGAAGGTGGTGTAGGACTTCGTTGAGATGATGGTGGAGAAGGTGATGGTGATCTAGATGGAGAACGCCTTCGACGACTACGGTTAGGTGTTGGTGGTGGACTATTTTTTTTATTTATAATTCGTCTTGTAGGACTGCGTGGTTTTGGGCTTCGACTACGACTAAAGTAATAAACATAATGACTTAAGGTTTTTATTTATAATTTAATTCATCTAACCTTCTGTAACGCTTTTTCCGAATTGGTGATTTATCTTTCAATGAAGGTAAAATGATTGGAGATGGCGACTTTGATTTTTCTCTAATATTATTGGCAATGTCATCTTCTTTTTGTTTTTTTGCAGAATGTTTAGCTTTGTAGTATTCATATAAACCAAGTTTTTCCCAACCATCACTAACACAAATATCATTAGTTGAATAATTGTACAAACTTTCTGTATATAAATATTTACCTATCACGTGGAGCGAAATGTCCAGGAGGCATGTAAAAGGCTTTGACTGCATCTAATAAACGATCTGTAGGTGGAGCTGGTGGTGGTAATCTGATTGTATCTGGATCTAAAGGTTTATAATTGCTATCTTCCAACTGAATCAAATACCATCATCATAGTATAAATAAAATACAATTTAACATGTATAATATATATTTATTAATTTTAAACAAACTTTAACTAATGGCACCATAAGGCCAGCTGGAAGTTCATAATATGGCAGTGAAGGAAGTAAATCATCTGCTGTAATTTCTTGTTGAACCGGTGGTAAAGAAAAGTTGTTTTGTATAAAATTTGGAGGTGGTCGACTCAGATCAGGTAACTCCATCGAAGCTTCATTGAACAATATTTTTATGTTAGTATACAATGATGAATATTTTTTGACTTCAAAACTTACGCGGAGGTTGTAAGTGTATATTGGGTGGAGGTTGGTTAAATGGTGGTGGAGGTCTATTATACAGAGATGGAGGTTGTTGCATACAATTTTGAATTGGCTGTCCATAGTGATCATCTTGCTGATATCCATTATCCGTTTGATGAGGATAATTTTGTTGGTCCGCTTGCATATATCCAGACATATTATTCTGATATGGAGGAGGAGAAGGTAAACGACCTTCATTATAATGCTGTCGATTTGTGTCGTCTAAACAAAAAAACAACAGAGAAATGGTTCTAAAGGGGAAATATTAAAAAATTAAGAGAACATGTACACAAGGTTTCCATTACAATAATAATTACATTATATATATTATACATAAATATATTAACTACTTTCATTAGGAGTTATCAAACAAATCTTAATAAAAACAAAACCTATAGGATGTTGTATAAAAGATACAAAAAAACATATTACAGGTTCAATTGCACATTAAAATTGTGTTGAAATAGTTCTTTGGAATTATAAAGTAATATGTCATAATAAATAAATACTATTTTCTGTAGAATTAAAATTAAAATTTCAATTAACTATGTATTATCATTTTTATCAATTGACAAAAATTTATCAACATAAGATTTAATTAGAATTTTATAATCAATAAAGCTAATTCATTGTTATTCAATTCAATTATTTCATATTATATAGCTTAAGCAGGAAAATAAATAAAAATGTTGATATTATTTTTTAACATGAGAATTTAACTATCCATTCATTATACTTTAAAAAATCTATACTTAACATAAATATCAAATCTTAAATATAACAAATAATGAATGAACTTAGCTATCTTTAAAAATTATAAAAAAATACCAAACTTATAACTAAAAATATAAAATAATCTTTATACTGTAAAATAAAAAATACCTAACACATACAAAAACAAATGTGCATAAAAATAATCAAAAAGAAATTAACTTAGATGAGAAGAACTAATAAATCAAATTCATATAATATACATTATATATAAATAAAATAATTTATATAGATGTATATACATAATAAGTACTAGGTTTAAAGAAAAAAACTAAAAAGTAAATATTTACTGTTATCCTAATATGCTACTAACATTAATCAATCTATTAACAATTATTAATTTGTTTTTTTTGCATTTGTCTTTAAATTTAGATCATTTTTGAAAATAGTATGAAAAATATTCTAAAATAGCACAAAATCTAAGAAGTTAAAAAAAAAGTTTTAAAATATTTCAAGTTGATTTGATTATATAAAAAAATGAAACTAGAAAATAAATATTTGAAAGAATCTTTATTGTAATAGTTATCAGTACTAAAACAAATGTATTAATAATAGAGAAAATAGATCATTTTTCATTAAATCCAGTCTTTGCACTTTAAAATGGGAATTTATCTATTATCTACGGTATATCTAATAAAAATATGATCTTAATTAACTTTTAAGAAAAAATGAAAGTTTTAAAAGATGAGTTTTAAAATATATAGTTTTGAAACCTTGTGTTTGAATATAAACTTTTATGATAAATAAAATTTTAACTTTTATTTTGCATAAAATGTGTAAAATGTCCATTTTTTAAATCAGATGTGCGCTTACCTTGAGCTGGAGGAATTGAAAGAGGAGTTACCCTTTGTTTTTGTTGTTCTAGCGAACGTTTTTGGTTTTCTATATTCTAAAATAATCGAATTCCCAATAAAAAATGACTTATGAAAGAAAGGTTGAATATAATATTATACAAATAATTAATATAAATATACATGTAAATATAAATATATACCTACAAAAACTATTCTTGTATAGGAATTTAAAAAATTAATTTAATATGGTCATGTTGAACTAATTTTGGATAAAAAAAAATATAAAATTCTCATACATCCAACGAATAGTTTTGTAAATATTTTAAACAAAAGCTAAAGCGTATATTTTTTTTTTCTGATGGTTTAATGTAAACTAAATATTGGTTTTTTACTTTGTTTCTAACCTACATTAGTGACTTTGTAAGCACATAATGTTTAAAGTGAACCAGGTGGAAGTTTTCATGAGATACTTTATTTTTAACAATTATAGTATTACCTGTATCTGATTATTACAATGAGCCAGAAATGATTGATGTTGGCTGCGGTAATTTTGTAATGTACTGTTCATTATCATGTTGAGTTGATTGACAGCATCTCTATACTTTTCCAACAAGTTGCTCTTGTATTCTGCCATCGATCTATCAGGATTTTTCAATCGCTCCATTATAGTTTCAGGAAAATAATGATTTTTTGTTTCCCATAAAGTAAGCAACTATTGATTTCATAAACAAGTTTTAATATTATATAAAATCATCATAGTAATTAGTAATGGATAAAATCTTACTTTGCTCAGTTTAGATTTTTGATCTTCATTTGCCCTCATCATTGCCGAGCAAAACATTGGTACAATGATTGATTCAAGTGATGTTTTCAGTATTTTTTCTGACTTGCGAATACTAAAAAAGTTTATAAAATAATTTGTAAGATTTGTATTATTTATTTAAATAAAAATCATCTTACCAATGATGAACTGTGTCATTTACTAAATATATTAAATGTAATTGTTTTGAGAATTCTGCATTTGGATCCATCACTCTGTACCAAAGAATAGTAATTCAACTTATGATTACATTATTGATAAACGGTTAATAATAATGGTATTTTACTCACTCCATAAGTAAATATTGGGTGATAACATCAACTTTTCGTTCACTGGCTGTTTGTTTCATAATCCACGATTTGCCATTGGCTATTGCGTCTTTGGTACATCCTTTAATAATTGGTTCGAGTACAGACGACAATTCAACTAATGATAAATCATTAGCTGCAGCTTCAGAATTAATATGTTCTCGCTGTTCAGATAGTATTTTATCTTCAGTAGCCACTTGTTGCTGCTGGGCTAATATCTAATAACATTTATTTATATTGAAGAATTATTCAAAATCTTTTGTTTTAAGAACTGTATTAAATTTCTTACCATAAGTTGAGAGTTAAAATTTTGCTCAGCCTGTGCAATTTGTTGCTGTAGATTGGCTTGTTGAGCATTTAAAGATTCCATGGTAACTACTGATGGCTGACAATCATTTGTTTGGTTTAAATTTAACCATTGTGCTGCTGCAGCAGCCATGTTCAATTGTTGTGTACTGACTGAATTATTTGCAACTGCGGCTTGAGCTATTTCTCTAACACTGTTTTGATTTAATACTAAATAATTTCAACAAAAAAAAATGTGTTTAAAACTTAGGTTATTAATGACAACGCTAAATTTGTGAATAGTCTTGCTGAAAAATAATGTCTTTAATTATATTAATAAAGACCATAAAGATGACACCTTAATAATGAATTACTAGGTACACAGTACACACAATAACTAACGAAAAGTAAACAATTGTCATTTACAAATAATACTGTCTCTGTTTGTTTTTGGGTATCGACTTTTAAAATTCAAAAGAAAAAAAAATAGATTGCACAAACTGCTTGTGTATACATAATAATGTCAATAGTGTCTACAACTAGTAATGGTCTGTTAATGAGTCTTCGAACAGTTCAACACCACTCACTCGATTGTTCCGTAGACACTTTACGCCGGTAATAATCAAAGTAACGGCCGCCGAACAGAAACTCAAACTTTGGGTTATCCTTTTGTTTAGTCTTGGTCATCTGTTCAAAGTCAGGTCCATTGCGCGCGACGAACACGGCTAACTTGTCAATGATCGTGCGCAATTCCTGGTCTACGAGAAGTAAAACAAAACTTTTAAAAACGGCAAAAATAAAACTGTATTTCCCGGATTTCGTTGTGATCTGTGATGAGATTTTTACCTTCCGGGGGCGGAGGTACGTCCATTATCGGCTAGTTAGCCAAAAACCGACACGCGAGCAGTTTGCGTCTACAAGAATCAATCGAATGCGACACGGCGACTTGGGTGAGAACACATCGTCGAATGTCAATTGTGTGGTTTTAATGTGAATACCTCTCTTGTCGTAGTCGTTGTCGACAGTAAGAAATTCTCGTGGACGACTCGATTGATTAACTCTCTTCGCCGCTCGAAACGCCAGACGGCCAGACTCCCGAGATTGAGACGCGGTTTGTTAAGTTTGTTTACAAAATTAATTTTCGTAGGGATTAGGGAATGAGTATTAAGTGTTTCCCCCTACTACCTATAAGAGTATTACGGTTGTACGGCTATACCCGTTAGCGTACAAGAACATTCGTCAGTCGTGGTCGAGCCGTCAGGAATCGCGATAAATTCTGCTTCAAATCTCAGCGTTGCCAACCGCCGTAAGTGGCCGGTGATACAGTGTAAGTAATCGAGGCGGGTTCGGTCCACGACTAACGAGGAGCGTTCCGGTGATAACAGAACGACGCGATGTTTACTTTCTTTACTTTTTCAAGTTTTTTCCGTTTTTCGTCGAAGTCTTCGACTTTGACTTCCCTTCCCGATTTTAGCCACCGGGTAGGATTTCCCTCTTCGCAATTGCACAGTGCAATAGGCGTTTATTTTCCGATCTCTTTTCAAACGTCCAAGAAAGGTATGTGTTGCGAATACTGTTCTTCGTGCTCTTCTAACCATCGTATTTTGTTATAATTTATAGATGCTTTACAAAGACTCGATCAAGGTAAGTTGGGCGGATGAGGTTGAGGAACACTTAGAGAAAACGACTCTGCCGCAGTCAAAAACCGAGCAGGTGGGAAACAACCGTATTATAACAGAATACCGATGGAACAAGGACGACAAGAAAGAAAAGGTGGTGCGCACCTACAAGATTGAAAAACGGCTGGTCTCTAAGACTGTAGCCGAGCGGAAGACGTGGTCCAAGTTCGGTGACTCGCGCAATGACAAGGCTGGACCTAATATTGCGACGACTATACCTGCTGAAGAAATACAGATGCAGTTCTTGTCTGACAAAGACGGTGACAAAGCAGAGGAGAACCCGTTGGACAAGCTGAAGAATGTGAACATGAACATTAAGTGTCGTACGTGCGGCGGCGAACATTGGTCTTTCTCATGTCATCTCAAGGGCACTGGTTTGATTGTTGAAGACAAAAAATTAGTGCAAGAGAAAGTGTCTGAACCCGAAAAGAACACCGGAACTAACAGGTTAGTCAATTTAATTGCACACATTGTAATCTTGTCATCTTTTATGTTAACATTGTATTGTGTAGGCCATACGTCCCACCTTCAGCACGAGAAGGAGCTACGAATACTGTAGGAAAACGAGATCCATACTCGCGTGGTTATGATGAAGTACCAGCCATTCGTATTGAAAATCTTTCAGAGAGTACATCTGAAGCAGATTTGAGTGAACTAGTCAATAAGTTTGGGCATATTGCTCGAATTTTCCTGGCTTCTAACAAGGTTACAGGCGCTTGTAAAGGGTATGCGTTTGTAAATTTCAAATCTAAAATGGATGCCGAACGAGCCATCAAAGGTTTGCATGGATATGGATATGATCATTTAATTTTGAATGTTGGTTGGTCAACAAATAACTATAAAGCTGGTGCATAATATTCTAATACATGTGATGGATGGATTTTAAAAATACTTAATTGTTATATAATATTATAGTAGTTATTTAAGAAATCTTTCAACTAAATAAAAATTGGCAATTAATTTTTTGTTTAATATTGTACAGTATTTGATTTTCTGATACTCTAACTCCTGACGTTTTGATAAATATTTGTATATTTTAACAATTTAACTTATGATTTTTTCCATGCATTATTGTTATAAAATCAACTTGTGTAGGATCTTATATAAAATGTTTGAGCTTTGTGACCAAACATAAAATATTTTATCTGTATTTTAAAAAGATAAAACCTAATTTAACTTTAAATTTATATACTACATAACTTTTTAAATAATTATAAAATCTAGTCACTTTTTACTTGTCAGTGTAATGATAATTCTTTTACTCTTAATTCAGAGTTTGTTATCATTAAGAGAACCTCATTTATCTTTTACACTATTTCTCAATTGTTTTGTACTTAAATATATAATAAAGAAAAGACATTAGACAATAACTTTTGTATAATTTCTCATTAATTACAATTTATTAAAATCATAAGTTATATACTATATTTAATACATAAATAAAATTATAAAATATAGCAAACTAAATTTGTTTTATTTAAAATAACAATTTCATAAATTAAACACTAATGATAAAATCCTTTTTTTTTATCAACTAAAATAATTTAAAATAAAAAACAATCAGTCAAGTTGTATTTCTATGTTGTAAATATTCAAATAAAAAATTATAAAACATAAATATTTACCCAACATATTCAATAATATTATTAGTTAATATAATTAAAAATAGTAGTTAATTTTCCAAGATTATTGGAATTAATAAAAAAAATGCACATAGCTATTCTAATGGTGTGTAACAACTTGAATCACAGTATATTGGCAATGGAACATTAAATATTATACCTCGAATAAAGTATTAGCAGTCTATGGGAGCAGGGATTTCCCAAACGGTATGTTCATTATAAGCTAGTTTTGGACGGCTAATACCAGAAAATATCCCTTGATTCATTTTCAAAATCATCTCTGCGTTATAAGCTAAGTCTGTCAATATTCGATTAGGTGTTAAACCCATCAAATTCACCTCATATAAATTCATAATATGATCACTTCTCCTTCTAGAAAGTTCGGTTAAACTGAAACACAATTTTAAATATTGTAAAATGTAATAATTGTTCTCAAAAATTTTAGAACATTAAGATTTCTCACTTTAAAAGTCTAGGGTGTTCAATATTATAACAGCGATTCATAGATAACACTTTTAATTGATGATTTTCCTCTAAGATTTTATCCAAACTACTCGCAGTAACAGCTAAGCTATCACTAATATCCAATTCAATTAGTTTCACACAACGGCCACTCAACCTTGACAAATCTGAAATTTTTTCAATAAAAATTAAACTGTTAAAAAAACAAGTATAAACTTAGCAATATATAACCAATAAGTTAGGAAGCATTAAAAGTTTCTACTAGAAACTACATACCAAAATCTGCTAACCGCTTCAAAAATCCACTAATGTTAAGGCGTTTTATATTTGGTATCATATTGGCTGTTAAATAATGTAAGCTTTCATCTTCCAATTCAGCCCAAGATACATTCAATTCTTCTAAACTGAAATATTAATAATCAAAATTACACTGAACTAAAACAGTAGATAACTGAAAAAAAATTCAGAGGGAAGTTCTACATAAACATAATTTTTTTAATATTTTTAGAAAATACACTTTTTTTTTGACACAATTATAATAAAACCTCTTCCAAAGTTTACTTACTACAATTCAATTTAACTCTAACATCACACGTACTAAGATTTATTTCACCAATAATCATTACTACAAAAAATTTTAATTTAATATACTTTTTCATGGGGTCAATAATTACTACTACAACCACTATAATTGATATTTAAAGTAGGATAGAGCTCAATGGTGCATTACAACAAAATGGTATAACTTTTAAAAATTAAAATTACAATATAATACATAGAACATATTACCTTTTTATTAAATTGAATTTCATAAAATTCAAATATCATAAATAATAAAGGAATGGATAGTAACATGCTTATAATAAATACAAGTGAAACTCTATGATCAGAATAGTGGCTAAATGAGGTGAATTTGTGATAAATTTATTAAGATTAAGTTAGGTACCATGGTATTGTGTAAAAAAACTACTGTCCTATCTATTTCTTTATAGCTTATAGCTAACACCTACAGACTTTAACAGTAGTAGTCTATAAATTAAGAAAGCCTCTGGCTCTACTTTAGCTGTTTTTAGATGGTCTTCTACTATAGTTATAACTTTATAAACTTATTTGTCTTCAAACCTACATAAACTTGAAAACGAACATAAAATTAAAAATATAGGTAAATATTTTAACTAAAATGTTGTACTACTAATTATTTAACCAAGAATATTTAACACAAAAAATACTTACTTTTGGAGAGATAATATGTATTCTATGCCATTTCGGGTAAGACCAACTGTTGAAGCTAAGTTAAGTACTTTTAAGTTGGTATTGAGTCCAATGTACTGGCAACATAAAGAATCTAAAGAACAGTTTTCCAAACTCAGTTTGATCAAATTAGAACATTGACTCAATAATGAACCTAATGCTTTAAATAAAACAAAATAAATATACATGAATATAAAGTATATTGAAATATAACAATTTTTCATCAATATAAATTACTTACTTTTAACGTGTATGAATACAGAGCTCAAATCTAAGTACTGTAACTTGGGAAGTGGTGTTTTAAATAAATACTGGTTTTCAAAAATATAGAACTGAAATACAGGGGAAATCACATTAATAATTATGGTATATGTACAAAATGGATAACTTACATTTGAATGAGAAGTAGAAAAGTATTTGATATTGCGTCCAAGAAGAATTTCTAATGTTGAAATGCTCATCCGACGAGAAGGTATGTTTAAACATTGCCATAAGGATTCATCATATGAAATACGTCGCCATTTATGACATACAAATGCACATTTTATTAATGTGCGTCTGTCCATCAAATGAAAAATTTTCAATACTATTTCTTCTGGTAATGTATCAAAATCGTCTGCAAATAAATATCATATAATTCAATAATTAAAATATAAAACAACATTTTTAGATTTATTTTTGACTTACCATTACTCATTTGATGTTTTTTTTGCTTACGTTTATACTCTAAAGTATTTAAGCCAAAACCCATGGGCCATATCTAAATGAACAAAAAATATAAATTAAGTTTAAAGATCAATCAAAAAACTAAAATATCAACAATACATGTACAATTAAAATATCAAGTTATACATATCACACATTCCAATCCTAATCTAATAAAAAGTTAAAAAATATTAAAATGTTATTTACTATTTTAGAAGAAAAATAAGCCATACGACTGTTTTATAAATGCCCTTATAAAAAAAATATGATACTAAAAATAAAACTCGTAAGAAAAATTATTGATGGACAATTTTAGAACTTAAAATATAAATGAACCAATACAAATTTCAAAACAATAATATTTTACAAATAAACAAAATTTATATAATATAATAGCTGAACTTCTTTCTTTTTGATTTTTATTTTAATCTCGATGATCATAGGAAAAAATGAACATAATTATGATAAATACCAATCGTCCATGTACTGTATACCACAAACAAGTGGATTTCAACAAATGGATTTGAACAATTATTAAAGTTACTCAGAGAAGCAGAATATTACTAACACCACTATTTAACATGATTGTTTAACCTGAAAATTATCTCACTTTAAAAATAATATTATATACTATTCTTTTTTGAATTAAAACAAAGCTATAGAACCTCTAAACGTATTTAAAAATATTTATCTTAAAAATAATACTATAAACAGTTTTAAAACTTGATTTCCAAACTACCAAACAAATTATTCTTAAATGTTAATGCTATTTATGATAAATAACACATAGGCAACAATAAAAATCTTAAACAGACTAAAAAAAATATATCTAATACCTTGGTATCAGGATATAAATATCGACAGCGTTTGGAGACCCGAGTGTTTTCCAAAGCATAATCGTCCAAGTCTTTGCAACCCTCAAAGAAACTTGATGTACTTGAAATATCAGTCCTGTGGCAATCAACAAATACAATTATTAAATATCAATATTTGCACATAAATATCCACCGGATACTTACACGTCGTTCTTCTTTACAGTAGATTTTACTAAGTCCTCCATTTTTGAAAAGGATAGAAGAGTTGTCAAGAAAACTGATTTTTTTTTTTAGTATAGTGGAATTGACCTTTGGATTTCTGTTGTTTCTTCGTAATAATATGTGTGCAAAATCTGAGTGACGTAATTATAAGGCATATGCCATTGCGACAACGCAACAAGTCAATATTCCTGAGTGAACTATTCAGCATTCATCGATATTCAATGCTAATACACCAATTTTACCATAATATAACCATTTTAGATTTAACCCACTGCATAATGCCGCTAATGGCGCTAATCACTATTGACTGTAAAACAAAAAATTGGCGGTTCATTAAAATACCTAACCTATAAAAATATAGTCATGATTCATGGATAAAGAGACGTTAACACGAAAATATAATTAACAGCCAATTTTATATAGTTCATTGGTAGTTGGTACATTGTCATTAACGAAAATAAGTCTTAAAAGTAGGAACAAGCCTAATACAATTACAGAATAACAGAATACCATACTACCATCGCAAGCGTATGAGATTATGAGAATCATATGAGTTGTTGGTGACAGCCTTGTTGTACTTCGTTCAGTTACATTGCTGTAGATTTAGTTAGTTTAAATTTTACCTTTATTTGAAGTACCTGCCTTGTATCAGATTAATAATATTTTTATGTGGATATATTATATATATATATTGAGTACAGTAATAGAGTCATATGAACTATTAGAAATCTACATAATTGATAAATTGCAAACGACGGTAATGTTAAATGTAATGTATTATATGATTATGTCCAAAAACGTGGGTAAGTATACAAACAAGTAATTTGAATATAATATCTCTTTATGAAAATGATAAATAATATACAGTAAAAATAAATTACAATAGGTAAAGATTTTATATGAAATTTTAGTCAATGTGTAAATACAAAAATTAGATACTCGAACAAAATTACATAACTTTTGTTGAAGACGGTATTTTGGTGAAAACAAAATAAATTTCATTAAGAACATAAATCAACAGAAGTATTACGATCACATGTTAAATTTCAATACTTTTAGTCTTACGCCGATATTTATGACTACCAAATACTACATAAGTAGATAATATTGAAAAATAATTAGCTGTTTATTACCTAATAAAATTTCTGAAACATAATGCGACAAATGGAATTAAAAACATAATTCTAAGATACTCGAAAAATCTGGTTTCGACCATAAGAAGTCATAAAATATAACTAATAGAACAATAGATTCTTTTAACATATACATCTTTAAATACAGTGTTAATACCAGGATTTTTAGGAGGCACACTGTCTAGTACACCATATATACTACCTAGGTACCAAAAACAAAAATAAAATAAACTGATATTTAATGTTTATAGTTAAAATAATTTGTTTATATTTTCAGTCAGTCATTAAGTTTAATATATATATATACATAATAATAAATAATAGTAATTTAATAATAAAAACAGGTTAATCAACAAAATTATAGTGTATGTAATACTGGTATAAATGTGTAGTGTAAACAGCGCATACAAATAAATTTAAATACTAAAACAAAATCTAGTAAATAAGGCCCAGCAGGGGGCCGCTATTTACTGCCTTTCTGGATACGCAATGCTTTAATGCTATACTAGCTGAAATTAAAATCCATTTCTCTATTGTGAAATTCTCTTACATACAATCTAATATTGTACCCCAGTCAGTCTAATATAGTAGGTATATACTATATCCAGATCACTGGAACGCAAACAATACTGATTTTTGTATATTTCTTAAGATCATTTCTCAATCAATGACCAGTATTGCACGATGGTACTATTTAAACTTCCGCAATTTTATTCTTTTTAATGAATCTAGCGACAGTTTATATTTTCAAAGTAATTTAGGCTCTTGTACGCAGGTTGTACATAAAATGGATTAATTAGCTACTTGAATAAATAAATAATAATATAATTACTATTATTATGCTTGTTAATTGGTACAGGGTACCCCAAAGAGGAATATTATCATTAATCCTATTGTCTTACGCTCGATCAACCCTATCGCAAGACACCGGCCTGTCGCTGGATGTGTAAGTACCTACTTAATAAGTCATAATCTTAATCTATAAAAATCCTATAATAGCTACGAGTGCAACGACCAATTTACATTCTACAATTTCACTCGAATCTCATAGTCATATCAGTAAGGTACTTTTTAAATGGAGAAATTAAATTTGACTGTACAATTTTCATATAGCAACCTTCTCATCTTAAAACATAGGATTCTTCTGTGTTCGGAGCATAACGCCAGCATCATATCATAACTACATTTTACTCTACATAGTAATACATTCACGTTTATTCTCATTGTCTTTAAATAACCGTGAAAACGCATCTCATCGGAAAATTAAGCCTTTAACGTTTCTAAAAATCTTGACCGACGACTGAAAGAAATTGTTTAAATTTTTGTTTATTGTTTTATATTTCATTCTTTTCACAACTTTCTTCTTCCTTTTCACCGCCAAGCTAAGTGTTACTATAAGACGACTTTAAACAAGTCAACTAGGTATATTGACATGTATGTTTTAGCTACTCTCTTCACATATACTTTTGTACTATCTTTGTACAGATCGATATATTTAGCTAAAAATAAATATAATGACTACCTATAAAAGTTGTTGTGGAAACACAGATCTGTTGTCTGCCTCTTCTTCGCCGAAATTCTGCTGACGGCATTCGATGCTAAAAATATTGAAAATACACATTGTCATAAAGTAAACAAAATCATAAACTAGATACGTTTTCGCATACAATGTCTTACAGAATTTATTGTGAATTTAATACGTGCATTTGGCAACCTACCGTGTACTCAATGTATAGTGAAGTGACGACTGAGACGGTATAATCATTCTAATCGGCATAAGCTGTCACCAGTGGCGATTTCCTGACTTTCGGCGTTAGAGCGTTAATGTGAGGGAAAACAATTAGGGAAAACTCCCCTTACGGGAAATAATTCGTATCAACTATTAATAATCAACATATTACAAATTATTTATTTTAAATATGTTTTAAATTTTAAAAATACATCAATCCAACATCTATAAAATTAAATATAATATAAAACTGAAATGTACAAATTAATATAATAATGAATATATGTTTTCGACGATCGGCATTGCAGTCTTACGTACAGGTGTACGACGTAAACAGGATAACGTGCAGCCGCGACGATCCCCACTAACGGTCCAAACACAGGGTGTATAGGCAGCGCTGAACTAGTGAGTAGTGGCTAGTCGTTAATTTCATTTTCAACGACTTGATTAGTATTAACATGTGGCACCAGTTGTCCGAAAATATCGACAAATTACGAATATGAGATATTGAATACCTGGTCGTTGTTCGAAACATTAACATCCTGCGGCTACACCCTACGGCCTACACAAACACAACATAATACAATATTCATAATCGGCGTAATCTTATTGGACGCCGTTGCGCGTCATACTTCTGCAGACGGCGCGGGCAGATGGTCGAGTTGCAAACAAAATAGACAATAGTAACAATAGTTTATTATTTGATATTGTATTTTATGACAGTATTTTAAGATTTTGTAAATGAGTGTATATAACCAGCAATATGCTAATATGAATTACAAGTGCAATGCCACGCATGTAACATCAATGTTTAGGGCGTTAACACAACACGCAAACGCCATG